GTATGTGATGCATTAGTACTGTGGGATGATGGTTACATTTTCAAACTGACATTGCTTGCTCGGGTAAATCTTCCTCCCTATATTGTCGCAAAGCATGACTGTGCTCCCTCATAGAATGACTCATTTCCTAAGCACGTGATGCACTGGTGTTGCCCTCTCTGACAGCTCCTCAGTTTTTTTTTGTGACTGCATCTAAGACTTCGGTGTTCGCTCAACTAACGATGAGTTTTACAATGCTGTGTTCATGGCCCGCCAGAGAATCCCTTTACAGACTGGTCTTAATGTTCTTGAGAGAGGGGACTCAACTAAAGAGTGCTGGCTAAATGCACTGTCATTATAATCTCTTGCTAGCACGAGTGATCTCTATTGTATGATGTGCAGCTATGACTCGTTTCTTATGCACGAGTGGATCGATGTGTCTCAGCCTCACCATTGTCCTCACACTAAACAAATTCATGTTGTGAGAAAAGTGGCGACAATATAGGGCTTGTGTGGAGGAAGATTTACCCGAGCAAGCAATGTCAGTTGAAAATGTGACCATCATACCACAGTACTAATGCATCACATACACTAGGTCATCCCTGTCTTGTCTCCTTGCTTTTTATGGCATCCCTATATTCCACACTTTTTTTATTCGCAGAATTTTTTATTTACTTGTCTCCTTTCCTTTTTTTACGGCATGCACATGCATTGGGGCATAATGTCCATATAAAAAGTAACATGTATTTATTGCCTCGGACTCTTAGTCGTCATCTACATTTTTATTTCACTTCCAAAGTAGATAAGTGTACAAAGTTATAGGAAAAACAGATTGTTAATTGCCTGAGGCTGTTTGTTGTTGTTTACAAACTTGTAATTCATGTTTCAATGAACTCTTATCATAGTAAATCAGTGTACCAAGCTTCATTGTTAGAGGACCCACAATAAGCAAGTTACAGGCACAAACATCATTTACAAGTATTTATTGCCTAGGGCTGTTTGTTGTTGTTTACAAACTTGTAATTCATGTTTCAATGAACTCTTATCATAGTAAATCAGTGTACCAAGCTTCATTGTTAGAGGACCCACAATATGCAAGTTATAGGCACAAACATCATTTACAAGTATTCATTGCCTGAGGCTGTTTGTTGTTGTTTACTAACTTGTAATTTCTGTTTCGATGAACTCTTATCATGGAACATCAGTGTACCAATTTTCATTGTTAGAAGTCCCACCATAAGCAAGTTACAGGCAATAATATAGTTTACAAGTTTTTATTGCCTGAGGCTGTTTGTTGTTGTTTACAAACTTGTAATTTCTGTTTCAATCAACTCTCATCATGGTACATCAGTGTACCAAGTTTCATTGTTAGAGGACCCACCATAAGCAAGTTATAGGCACAAACACATTTTACAAGTTTTTATTGCCTGAGGCTGTTTGTTGTTGTTTACAAACTTGTAATTTCTGTTTCAATCAACTCTCATCATGGTACATCAGTGTACCAAGTTTCATTGTTAGAGGACCCACCATAAGCAAGTTATAGGCACAAACACATTTTAAAGTTTTTATTGCCTGAGGCTGTTTGTTGTTGTTTACAAACTTGTAATGTTTACATTTTGATACTAATGATGGGTTGCATGTGTGTACAAAGTTTTATCACTCTGGGTATTAGCTTTACCTAGTTAGCACACTTTATTTGTCTCTATAATAATGTATTGCCTGGGGCTATTTGTTGTTGTTTACATGTAAACAAAATTGTTTACGAAGAAATAAAAATGCTCTTGCATGCCGGGTCGCGGATTCCAATCTTTGTGCAAAGTTTCATCTCCATATCCTAAGTGGTTTTTGAGATACGCTTGTTGAAACTGAACAACAACAACAAGAAGAAGAAAATTGAAAAGTTGGATTCATGCCCTTTGTGACAATACGGATTAGTCTGATGTGTCAAAAGTTGGATCTGATTGAAACGGAAAGTGAAATATGAAAATCTTAAATGTATGGGCATAATGCAGGGTAACCTGTCATCCCTATATACTAAGTACTACCGTACTTAGTGATTATAGCTACACATTTATACAACGAAGCACACTTACACTTTGAAGTCATATAGGCCTTGTGTGGAGGAAATGAACATGAGCAAGCAATGTCAGTTTAAAGAATGTAGTTATCATCCATTGTACAACTGCATCACATACACGTGGTCATCCTTGGCTTGTCTCCTTGCTTTTCTATATTTCACTGTTTGGTTGTGCGTGGTAGTAGCTCAGATGGTAGAGTGTTCGCCTAGACTGCAGAATGTCTTGGGTTTGAATCCCACCGATGGCAGGTCTTCTTTCCTTTGGTGGTCCGGAGTATAATTGTGTTTGTTTTGCCTTTGCTTTGAAACCTCGTTGATGCATGCAGATAACAGTGTAGCTTCGCCTTCTAGAGATGTGAATGGTGATTATGGTGTCCATTCTATTACAAATGTGGAGGGATTACAGCAAATGTAACCTGTGCCTCAACTCCAGAAGATGTAATTAGTGCCTTAATTCTTCCAGTTCATGCTAAAATGAATGTGTGACTCTTGCGTTGTGCTGCTCTCTTCACCGGATTGCTGACACAGATAGCTTCCTTCACTGGGTGCAGTCATAGTATACAGAGATTTTCTTATATCGGAAGTAGCCAATGTGACCACATTCCTTTAAACAACTCGACTTCCAAGATTTCCAAAGCATGCTCCGTGATGTAAGCTGCTCTCAGTGCAGACTGAGTGACCGCGTAGAACAATGCACACAGTATACATATTCCAACTTATAAGCTGCAACAGCACTGAACCTGGGTGGGGTGCAGTCCTGTCGTTTGAAGAAGGTCTGCTCATACGAAGTACGCACAGCTTAAACCCAGAGCACTATTGAGCCTCTGAGCCCCTCAAACCCCATAGCAGTCTGTAGGGCTACAATATATCCAGTAGTGCCGCTGAATCAAGGCTGAGATGCCGAGATGTGTGCTGTGGTATGCGGGTCAATATGAAGGTTAACCTTTCTCACATGGTGAGCAAATCGCTTCTAAAGTTAACATAATTGTGAAAAGGGGACTACTGGACAGCCGAACTATTGCTCTCTGTGCATTTCTTTGAAAGCAGCCTGCTTTGCTGAACTGTAATGACAGAGCTTGAAGATTTCCACAAGAAATTTTTGGGTACAGAAAATATTGTGCAGTGCCGATTGAAAGCATGTGATTGTATTGTCAGCATCACGGGGTTGCTCTTCTTCAGCCTTGTGGTGACACAACCTCCCTATCACCCGTAACCTTCTAAATTCCTGTCCCATACTCAGAGAGAAGAGCACTCTTAAGGGTCTGCTCAACCATCCGGTATTTCAAGTCTCTGATAGCTTAACACTATTGTTAGATGTGACCACATGAGTAAAAGGAATGATGTGTTTACTTATTGAAACATCAGTTGATTCATCACACATTTACCCCACATTTAAACACTTTTTTCATTTTAAGGGTGTTTTTTTACCCGAAAAAAGGGCCTCAAATAACATGTGATACAGAAGATTTCTTTAAAATCTGCGACCTGCTGTAGGAAGAGGAACTATTTGTCTTAAAAAGCTTTCTACTACAATTATCTAACCTGCTTAACAAGCTAATAAAGGCACTTTTCAGATCTCATGTACCTTTGATGAGTAATGACCAAGAGTGTTACTACAGAAAAACTCCTCATTAGGAGAACATTTAATACATGCAAATTTTTACGCAATAATTGGTTGCATGCTCATATTCTCAGTGTCAGGGTGTAAAAAATGTTAGTTTGTGCTTAGGCATTTTGTATTTGAAAAAGGCTATTTTATTACTATTCTGACTGTAGCTCAAAACTGTGCCAAAATTACGAATGCTCCCTTTTCCCGAGTGAGTATCATTTATGAGTATGCATTTAATCGTGGTCTTCATGCTAGTAGCTCGTGGATAGACTGACACGGGCTAGCTGCACAAGTAGATAGCATGCAAGAGTTGATACACACCATTCATTGTGCCTTTTTATGCTTTCAAAGTACACAGAGTGAGCAGATCAGGTCGAGGTAGGCCCAGTGCAACTATGCATATTGGCTCTTTTGCGGATTTTCACGGTATAACTCTGCAACACAGTTGTTTCAGGAATATTGCCATTACATTTTTAGGCTGGCATTATTCTGAAGCTGTTGGTATAACTCATAGACCACCTCGTAGCCTGTAGTGCAAGAATAAATTTTGACAAAGAAATAAACAGACAGACAGACAGACAGACAGACCAAGTATTGTAACCCTTGCTGCGCAAGTGCACCGAGAGTTAACAAGATGCACAGTCTATAGTTCCATAGGGATAGGCTGATTCTGCAGTTCAGCTGCCCAACTTGAAAATCAAAATCACTACAGCTGCACAGGGTAAGGCATGAAGTACGAAAGGCAAAATAATATTTCGGAGAACAGCACGCTCCTTACAGACAATACGATGTTTCACAGAATCTGCATAGAGGTGAAGGATCATCCTTTGGTTGTTGCTCTTCAAGAGATCATTTCTGGTCGTAGACTTAGCTCCAAAAAAAGGCACCGTGCACTCTGAAACCGCAGCACTTAAGAACTTACGTAACTCCGAGTGGTAGGGAGGGGCTTCCTCGTGTGTTGCATTGGCAATGAAGAGAGCTTATATTAATAGATCGGTAGTATGTATATACTGATTATCAAGTCTGTGGCTCTATTACAGCCTAACCCCTCAGGGACACATAATAACTATAATCTTTTCGGGGATTTGTCTGGGAATTAAGGACGATTAGTAGCAATGATGCCTATATAGACTTCGGTTCTTTAATCAGTTTTTCTAGAGGACCTTTATTCATCATTTTGTGATGTCACGTTACGAACACATATAGTCAGTCATCCATGAAATTAATCTGCATAAATTCAGGGTCATTTTAACGTGTCACTTGTATTAATTACAGTGCAACCAAGGTAGTGCGTGCAACCAAGGTATGGGCAAAATGATGGAAAATACTAGTGTTTAGTGTTTTAGTGTGTGGTACTATACAAGCTGACATTCTTGTTTCAAGTACTCTACTCAGGAAGATATACGTACTCAGAGCTTAGACGTCGGCAGATTCAAATTGACCAATCACACAGATTGCGTAAAACGTGGAATCTAAATCCCGTATTTTCCAAGTGTGTCTATCCACGGAGACGCCTGCCAAAAAAATGGCGTCTTCGATGGGGGGTGTGGCAAGCTTCCGTGCAGAGAAACTCGCTCTGTCGCTCAGAGCTCGCCGCGACGACTTCAAGCTCGCTGTATCCGATGCTTCTTCGATGAAATGCGTCTCTACGATGCAAAAAGAAACTAAAATGAAGACCTTTTAACTTCCCCCGGCGAGAGCGAGTCTCGCGGAAGACGACGGACTCGGACGATTTGACTGCCAGTACGGCCTCCATCTAAACAGGTTATACTGCTTGTCAATGGAAATACACGATTTAGACAGCCTCGGAGCCCTTAGTAGCGTCTTCGCTGCTCTCAGACAGCAACAGCTCAGGGCTCCTCGGGCCGTCTAAATCGCGTATTTTCATTGACGCGCAGTACAACCTATATTTTTAGCCCAAACTAGAGCCATCATCAGTGATAAATAGTGCATAGTGCGTGTGTTGACTTTTATAGATGCTCAGTATTACAAAACACACAGAATCATGTACCTAGCCCGTGGAACCTAATGTCTTGTGGGCTCTGCGTAGTCCGACATGTCTGACTCTTAGATACTGTTGACTCAATGTTCCTTTGTCTCTGTTCAATGCTCGGCCCACTTTGCCAAATATACAAGGACTTGAGATGTTTTCTTCTGTTCTACTGTTTCCCTCTGTCCAAAACACTTACTAATGGAATAGGATCCTTGGGATGACACAAGGGGGTACGTACGTACCCAAATTTTTGAAACTTCACGATTTGAATTCCACTACTATGAAAAGTAAATGCCTGCACGACTTCCATTTACATTCCATCATTTATAACTGATGATGGCTCTAGTTTGAGCCGAAAGCTCTTGAGTTATATTTTTTCTTCTTGAGTATAGTATATATGTGAAAAAAGAATGTCATAAGTACGTACTAGGAAGCACAAGCTCAATTTTTAGTACTATACAAGTTCTGTAGTTTTCCACAGTATACTCACAAGATCTTGCTCTTATTTCCAATTTATGATACTTGTTCTGAGATGAAAGGTAATCAGTCTGCATTGGATCCCAATTAGAGACAACACCTAAAAAATTCATTATCATAATCACATATGCAAAGAAAACAAAGGGAGGCAACCCTAACACTAGCCGATGGATGTTAATGATACAGCTCCTTCTACTCATTATACCCAACTACAGTAACCCTCGCTGCGCATTCGCGCCGAGGGTTAATAACCACTTTAGGGCATGTGTCATAATCAAGGGAATGCCTAGGAGTCATCGAATACAGACAAAACTTGTGGATCAAGGCTAAGGCGTTGCTAGTAAAGTGGGAGGGTGAGATAAAGTTGTACATGGAACTTTGCAGAGAGTGTAGGGAGAAGGATGTGGCTGAACTTTCAAACATAACTCAGTAACAGGTATGAAGAGAGTATGGATAAAGCTACAAGGTGGAAGGGGGGGAAGTTTTGGTGCGTATGGATAGCACTAGTGTAGGCTTGATGAAAACAATGAAGGAGGATGGGCTTAGTTTTGAACAGAAGGAAAGGGTAGTACCCTTAACAGGAATTAAAGCTAGGTTTGGTATATCTACTGACATTGATGATGTTAGTGGTATAGTTGAGGGAGTGCAAGTAGAAACAAACTAAGCTTAGAGTGATAGATTTCGTGTTAAAGGTTTAAAATTGATGAAGAGATGCTTGGTTTGAACTATTCTGATTCAAGCAAGTCTAGGGATGTGCATGTAGATTCTGCAAATACTGGAGCAGCAAGTGCAGTTAGATTTTTGGCAGGTCACGAAACTGAAGACTGCGATTAGAAGATTGTTTATTCACCCTCGGTGCACATGTGCAGCAAGGTTTACCATAATTTGTTCATTAGTATGTCTGCTGGGTCCATCTGTTACGTTTATTGCCATTACTGGCTAATTAACACTCGGCGGGCATGCGCAGCGTGGGTTACAGTACTTGGTGTGTCTGTCCGTCTGTTACCACGTTTTCTGCCACCACACGCAACAACTAGCCAAAAAGCGATACTAACAGGTTCAGCGCTACACTGGCTTCATTTTAAAAACGGCGATTTTCCTAAAAATTCTCTTGCTCTGTGTACCTTGAAGGCACAACGAAGGTCATGTATCGACTAACACATGCTATCCACTAGTGTAGAAGGCCCGTGTCAGACTCTCCGCGAGGTACTAGCGAGACTCTAAGAGTAAACACACAGCCCAGCATACGCAGTGCGTCGAGGGCTTTGAAATATAGTGATTTTCATTTACCAATTATAAAGTAGTGTGACACTCCAAAAAAAACCGAGGTTGAGTCATTGGGGAAATGAGAGGAACATGAAAGAAAAAATGAATTATGTTAGTGGGAAACATTGTGAAGTGAATAGTGGCAAAAGCTAAGATACGAAAGAAAGTGTGAAAGCCTGTGTATTGGTGAGATGAGGTTAAGACAAAGATAGAGGGAAGTGTATGAGAAAATTATGGTTACATAAGACAATTTCAGGTGTGGAATGAGGTAGCAGAGAAAGGAAGAGTTTCTGGTATTATTGAGGAGGGTGAGGGTAATAAACAGGGAATTGCAACACTCAGAGAATAGGGCCGGTTACCAAGGGAAAGTTGGAGGTACTGAAGGTTCATACAGTAGAACTATTGGAAAAACAAGAGGTGAAAATTGTAGTGTTATTGCTTTTAAAAACTGTCAGGAATTTTTCTTTTTTCTGAGAGAGAATGTATGATAATATTGTGTACCAAATTTATTGCTCATCTTCAGCAAATGCTGGGAAATGTTCAGTAGTCCAGTATCACTGAATACACAGAGATCAACAGAAAATAAATAATCCCAGGTAGAACACTCAGGAGTACCTATACCTGCAGAACAAATGTGAGTGGATAGCTTACTGATTGAGCAAAACTATGAAGCAAACACTATTAAGGGGACGGTGAAGCGCTTCGTCCACGCAATTCTTGCGCGTGTTCAGTACCACTGCGGTTTGCATTAGCTCTGCGCCAGTTTTATGGTTCTGTGCTCTTTTTTGTACCGTATATAAAACGTGACCCGCAGTACCTCAAACATATTACGCCTTACGTTTGCACTGCTGATAGAGTGGAAGAAACGCCGAGAACGTCTTGCTGGTATGCTGTCTCTACACACAGCGACGGTTTGCGTTTTATGAATAGTTAATTAAACAAACACTTCACCGTCCCCTCATTTAACCTAGGTTCATCAAAAGATACAGTCCAGCTTTACAAGGACTCCATGCTAACCTTGTTAGTTGCTATAGATTGGCACTTATGTACGTAATAAGATTCATTGAGGTAAAAACGTTATCATTCGTACTTAGTACAAAGGAATGGGCATGGTATCTTGCATCATCAATATACGAGGCTAAGACATGCAGTTTTGTTCATCTTCTTGTTGAACTCACGTAACTAAATGAAAAGCACTAAAGTGCAAACCGTCGGCGAACTGCGCATGCGCGATACTGCTAATTCATGGTCTGGGCTATTCATGCGTTAACTCGTGGTCTCCCGCTAGTAGCTCGCGGAGAGTCTGACACGGGCTAGTACAGTAGTAGATAGCATGCGGGAGTCGATACACGCCATTCGTTGTGACTTCCTGAGCCCCCAAAGTACACAGGAGCGAGTGGATCAGGTCGCGGTAAGCCCAGTGCTAATATTCATATTGGCTTTTTCGCTTGTTTTCACTGCATATCTCTCGAACGCAGTCGTTTCAGCAAAATCGCTCTTTTATATTTCAGGCTCGCGTAGTTCTGAAGCCGCTGGTACCGTTAATAGGCCGCGTCGTACCCTGTAGTGCCAGAATAAGCGTCGACACACGCACACAGACAGACAAACCAACTACTGTATCCCTCGCTGCGCATGCACGCCGAGGGTTAAAAATGAGGTCACACATCTATAGCTCAAAGAAAATAAATTTGTGGACCATGCATAGGTCAGTACAATGTTAATTGATGGGTTACACCACCATACACACAGAGCTACAACACCATGAATCAGTCACACGCAATTGAGCAATCAGATTGCAGAATTGTGGGTGGTTTAATTTTCATAGACACCTCGTTGCAGGTGTCTATTGGCGTTTGCAGGTGGTCTACAGCAAATTCTCCGTACAAAACAGATATTCTCAAAAGTCTGTTTATGGCAAATAGATGCCTGGGCTCATTGTACCAATACTTAGGAAGTTGCTGCAACTTCTGCTGAAGCAACAAAGTTGCAGCATGTATGGCCTGCTTAACCTATATGCATCTACGTACAACACAATGATTACCTAATAGCACTGAGCTACAACACAATGATTTCCTAATAATACACACAAGACAATATGCACATTACTTTACAGATCCTAACCTTCAACAATGGTCCAAACATCATTAAAAGCCACCATTCTTCGGAAAATTTTCGTGGCCTCTTCCATTGTATTCTCTTGTTCAAAACCATTAAGCTGACAATGAATACTGAATACAGGGAAGAAAAGAAACTCGACTGGCAGGTGGAGGATGCCTTTCAATGATATTTTCTCAAAGTGCCCATAATCAACCAATTGCACAAAACAGTCATCAACTCCAGCTTCTAAAATGATGGCTCGGCAGTACAGTTCAGTGACAGAGGAGTAAACACAAGCAATACTCCCAGCATTTCCTTCCTTCACACAGTGGTTGTTTCTGTTCGAGTAAAAACTTTGCATGTAACTCTCAAATAGTTTCATTCCTTCCGCTGTAACTATATCCAATTTGTGAAGGTAAAAATCTGTCACACTACATATGTGTGCCACAACAGCCTGAAAAGGGAACCTCACCTGCTGAAACTTTAGTTTCATTCTTGACTCAATTGAAATCATTCTTCTTTCACATTGAAGATTATCAGGAGAAATAGTTCCAATTAAGAAATTACATCCATCATTACATCTTATGTTGAGGCATACAACAGAGCCAACAAATTTGTACGGTGAGTTAAATGTTGAAATGTCCAAAATGTTTACATTTAGCGCTTGGCAATGAAGTTCAAAAAATTCCGTTTGCAAGGAATAAATTGTCGAACCAGACACCATTTCTATTGTGCCATAATCAACAAACAACACCAAACAGCTATCTTCATGTGCTGCATCTGAAAAATGCAAAAGGCAGCGTAAAGACAATTGAATTGAAATTACTTCTTCACTTATCAAATTAGCAAACAGTAGCATGTATGAAAATAAAACTTGGTACACACATATACTAAATTATTCCCATGACAATGAGTTTGATGACAAGATAACATATTTCAAACTGACATTGTTGGTCATGTGCATTTCCTCCACATAAGCCCTATAATGAAGCATGAGTGTACTCATCACAGAATGACTCATTTCCTAAGCAAGTCATGAACATTACAATGCTGCGTTCCATATTTCACCGTTGTCTTCACACTATACATACTCATGCTGAGAGTAAACGTGGCGACAATAAAAGGCTTGTGTGGAGGAAAATGCACTTGAGTGGCAATGTCAGTTTGAAAAATGTAGCCATCATTTATTGTACTACTGCATCACACACCACGTCATCCCTGTCTTGTTTCCTTGCTCTTTATATCATCCCTATTATTCACTATTTTTTTAGTTCGAAGAGTTCGTAATGTATTTGCATAAAAGTGAGACGAGACAAGGTGAATTTTATAAAAGGAGGAATATTGTAGGGATGGAAAGGGAGACAAGACAAGGATGGGACATACAAACTAGAGTTTACGAACAGTGAAACAAGTGGAAAAGTATTTTTTATAAGATGTACGAATCTAACAAGGGAACAAGAAGATTCCTTCACTGAGACAGAAAGACTTTATAACCCCTCCCCACACTTGTTTCTTACAACATTAGCTTAGCTGGGCAATACCAGTCATACACATGGGACATCTACATGATCCCCAATCTTTGCTGATTCATTTGTAAGGCAATACATGACTGTCATGTGGCAAAACCTGCTAAAAAAGTGACTAGGTTACACATCAATGTGTTCAGAACGTAACTCAAAATAATTCTACCATGCCAAGCAACAAGAAAAATATTTTTCGGATGTTGTAGGCTTTGTTTTAATGCCTTATTAATTCAGGTCCAATTCATTTGTAGAGGAACGAAAAAATGTGCATTAAATCCAAATTGCACAAAAATCAACGCACACCTGAGCAATTTCATTGTGCGGATTCTACGGTGATAATTTCACAAAACTGCTCAAAGTAAAAAAATCCTAGTTTATTGCACATGTAACTGACTTGCCAGAACAGATTAGGAAGTTTGAGGAGTGAAAACGTGTATGGGGTTTTTAGAATTATGTGTCAAGGTGATGATGTGAACACCGAGCTCACTAAGTTAGTCTGTTATACATTGCCTAACGCTATTTGCAAACATGCTCAGTATCTTTTCTGAAGTTACATAATTATACAGGTTTTAGACAAATAATGGTTGTAGTATACGCAAACATATTGAAGATGGTGTATGTTACTCAGCAATAGATCCGTTCCTGAGTTGCCATGTCTCACGCAGATCTATATAAACAATACGTATTTCAATTTTAAACTACATGCATACAACTGTGCACAAAATAGAATCATTGCACAGCCGCTCTATACTGGAAACGAGTCTGAACTGTGTGTGAGTTGTCGTTTTTTCATTCTAGATTTTCTATATTCTATTTTGCAATAAATGTCTATTTTTCTATAATTATATCACTAAGTACAGTAGTACTTAGTATATAGGGATGACACAGGTTGTCCTCCATTATGCCTCATGTTTCACTTTCAGTTTCGATCAGGTCCAACTTTTGACACATCAGACTGATCCGTATCTTCACAAAGAGCATGTATCCAGGAAATGGCTTAAATTGCATAATATTTATTTTAAAAAGTCAGTTTTCAAAATTCTTGTTGTTGTTGTTGTTGTTGTTGTTCAGTTTAGACAAGCGTATCCCAAAAACCAGGTAAGATATGGAGATGAAACTTTGCACAGATATTGGCAATGACAGGTCGTGCAAGAGCATTTTTATTTCTTCGTAAACAATTTTGTTTACATGTAAACAACAACAAATAGCCCAAGGCAATACATTATGATAGAGACCAAATAGGTGATAAAACTTCGTACACATATACAACCCATCCTTAGTAACAACATGTAAACAATACAGTTTGTAAACAACAACTAACAGCCTCAGGCACTAAAAACTTGTAAACTGTGTTTTTACCTATAACTTGCTTATGGTGCGTCCTCTAACAATGAAACTTGGTACACTGATGTATATACCATGATGAGAGTTCACCGAAACAGAAATTACAAGTTTGTAAACAACAACAAACAGCCTCAGGCAAAAAAAACTTGTATATGGTGTTTGTGTCCATAAATTACTTGTGGTTGGTCCTCTAACTTGGTACACTGATTCACCATGATAAAGAGAAACAGAAATTACAAGGTTGTAAACAACAACAAACAGCCTCAGGCAAAAAGACCTTTAAATGGTGTCAGTGCCTATAACTTGCTTATGGTGGGTCCTCTCACAAAGAAACTTGGTGCACTGATGTAATGTGAATGACGACAAAACATCTGAGGCGATAGCTTAAGGCCACTAATGTTTTTTTTATGGGCTTATGCCAAAAACTATCCCCTTTATATTGCACACCATGCATGTGAATGCAGTAAAAAAAGGAAAGGAGACAAGTAAACAAATTCTTCGAATTAAAAGTGTGGAATACAGGGATGCCATAAAAAGCAAGGAGACAAGACAGGGATGACCTAGTGCATGTGATGCAGTAGTTCATGGATGATGCTTACACCTTCAAATTGACATTTCTTGCTCATGTAAATTTTACTCCACACAAGCCCTATATTGTCGCCACTCTTACTCATAACATGAGTATTGAATAATGTAGTGTGAAGAGTGGCAAACAAATTCTGTAGAGAAAGCAGCATTGTAAAACTGGTTAGTTGAGCGAACGTTGACAGTCACGATTCAAAACTGAGGACCTGTCAGAGAGGGCATTTGCTACCAGTCTGTGCATAGGAAACGAGTCATAGCTGCAAATCATACCATAGAGATCACTCGTGCTTTGCGACAATATAGGGCTTGTGTGGAGTAAAATTTACATGAGCAAGGAATGTCAGTTTGAAGATGTAACCATCATCCATGAACTACTGCATCACATGCACTAGGTCATCCCTGTCTTGTCTCCTTGCTTTTTATGGCATCCCTATATTCCACACTTTTTTAATTCGAAAATTTGTTTATCACTAAGTATGGTAGTACTTAGTACAAACGAATGACAGAGGTTGTTCTGCATTATGCCTATACATTTGTGATTTTCATGTTTCACTTTCAGTTTCAATCAGATTCAACTTTTGATACATCAGACTGATCTGTATCGTCACAAAGAACATGTATCCAAGAAATGGCTAAAATCGCATAATCGGTACTTTATTTTTATAAAAAAAATTCACTTTTATAAATTATTCTCGTTGTTTTTGTTCAGTTTAGGCAAGCGTACCTCAAAAACCACTTAAGATAATATGGAGATGAAACTTTGCACAAAGATTGGAACCCGTGACCCGGCGTGCAAGAGCGTTTTAATTTGATGATGTTTACAAACAAAAAATAGCCGCCCAGGACATACATTATGAGACCAATAAAGTGTGCTAACTACGTAGAACAAATACCCAGAATGATAAAACTTACACACATGCAACCCATCATTAGTATCAAAGTGTACACATTACAAGTTTGTAAATAACAACAAACAGCCTCAGGCAATAAAAACTTGTAGTGCCTATAACTTGCTTATGGTAGGTCCTCTAAAAATGAAACTTGGTACACTGATGTACCATGATGAGACATCGAAACAGAAATGGAAAGTGCAAACCCTCGGCGGAGACGTGCGTGCTCGCTAAAGGGTTCCATGTCAAAGCAAAGTTGAGGAAGACCGCCTATATACACAGTCTTGTGTGAAAGGTTACAGACGAGGTCTACCAAGTGAGGCACATCTTTCGCTGTGCATCTGCCATGTCAATAGGCTTGGTACGGGAATATCTTGCGCATGCACGAGCAGATAGTGCCAGGCACGAAACGCATGCGCGTGGAAGTACGCGCATATGTTGTACTGCTAATTGATGGGCTGGGCCACTTTAGCTACTCATTGTCTCCTACCAGGTCGCTGAGAGTCTGTAACGGGCTAGCTACACTACTAGCGAGAGTCGATACACACCCCTCATTGCAACCTCTGGTATACACCTCCAAGTTATGCAGAGCAAGCACATTTCGGTGCTAGAGAGCGCGCATCACGAGGTAAGCCTGTGCTAATTTGCATATTGGCACGTTCACTTGGTTTTCACGCCGTAGCTCCCGAAAGCAGCAGTTTCAGAGAAAACCCCACATACGACCTTTTTTCGACCTATACCTGACGATGAATACTTGGTATTGTTTGTGGAGCGATTCATGGCTCGTGAGTGAGATGTCGTGCAGACAGACAGACACACACGACATCTACCGTAACCCTCGCTGCGCATGGGCGCCGAGAGTTAATTACAGTCGGTAAACAACAAAAAAACAATAAATACTTGTTTGTGCCTATAACTTGCTTATTGTACTTGTGAGATTCGCTGCGTGTTCCACTGGTATAATAATATTCATTTTGCACAGCAAATTACAGCAATTTTTCACAGCTCCGAATGATAAATAGAAAAACATCAGACATACGGTCTGCTATTAATGAGCCACGCATGTGCAATAGTCGACGTTTCATTTTGCTGCTCACACTCAGCTAGCAGTCACAGCTCCGCGAACGACTGAAACAATGAGCAACGATGATCCCTCTCTTGAGGACAGCCCTCGAAACGAGGGCGGGGAAGACAGAAATGAACCTGTGGAGAATGCGGAAGACGCATTGGACGCAATCCTGAGGGACATGTCAAAGAAAGCAGCTCTCCTTAGGAAGATGGGACTGGACGACATTCAAGGTACATCAACGGGCGAACCCAGCCACTCCACCCCCTAATGGGAAGTCTATGGGTGGCCGGGCCCACTACAGCCACTCTACCCCCTTGTGGGAAGTCTATGGATGGTTGGAGTGGTTACCCACCCGCGCCATTTCCCTATCCCAGTTTCCCCGCCTTTTCCAAATTGGGGATTCCCCAATTCGCAGACGGTCCCGCGCAATCCTGCGACGTCTCCGCGGGATGCTACGCCGCCAACGCCACGGGAATCAGACGAGACTCCTGGCACTTCCTCCTCTCTCCACCGTAACAGGTCCCAGGATGCTCAGGATGATGAGGACTCCATACATCTGCTCGATGAAGCTGAGGCTCTAGAGCTAGTTGAGTTCGATCCGAGTGTAGAGCCCAAGGATACATGGAACCCTCCGTCATCTATGGTCAATTTTCTGGAAAAGCATTTCAACTGAACTCTATAGGAAGGCGACATAGAAGCAATTCTGAAAGATTTCCCGAAACCACACAGCAAGGCCATTGTTTCCCCCCAGGTTGGATGACAAGGTGAAGGAGCAGCTTAAAAAAAGGGCAGAGACCCCAATTACGGGTCAGAGAAGTCGCTATTCAAAATCCAGGAGCAACTCTTGGATGTGGCAGGGCCCCTGACATGCCTCTGGGCTGATCTCCTTAACAGGGATGCCGGTATAACACCAGAAGACACTCTTATGCTAGTGCAGAGGGCGCTCGTATTGGTGGGCAGCGTGTCCCACTCCATGACACTGGAGTTCAGGAAGGTCACTTGGTCCCGCATCAACCCCAAACTAAAATCACTGTCCTCAGAGGAGTACAACGAGAGGGAGTCCAATTTGTTCGGCCCTGGCTTCCTTGAGAAGGCATCCAAATGTCTCGAGGTCGAAAACACACTGGACAAGGTCTCCAACCAAGGTATGGCAGGTCCTTATCAGAAAAGGGCAAGGTACGACAAAGACAAGTCAGACCTCAGGAGTTTTTTTGTCTAGGGGCGCTTCATCTCAGCGTGGGAGCTCGAAGACTGGACGCCAGAACAACCTACGCGGCTCTTACACAAAGTTCAGGAGCAACAAGTACTTCAAATCAAACCCCTCCAAGAACAACACCGGTCGGTCAGTGGATTTCAAGGAGAAACCAAAGTGACCCCAGAGGCGATCCCATTCCAGGTCACCCTTTTGCCTATCGCTCATCTAGACACCTTCCCTCCAGCTGGCCGGGTCCGTACCTGTATTGGGAACAGGACCAGTATCTAGGACGACCCTTGGATCCTGGAAGTGGTCAGGGGCTACCGTCTGGAGCTGGCATACATGCCACAACAGGGGACCCCCCGAGAACGGCCACTTTCGGAGCCAAAACAGGATATGGTATCGGAGGAGGTCGAGAAGCTACTATTGCAAAAGGCAATAAAAAAGGTCCAGGAAGTCATGAGACCAGTGTTAGCTCTCCTCAGAAGACAGGGCATATGCTGCGTCATCTTCCTGGACGACCTGCTAATAATGCAGCAGACACAGAGAGTCCTGGAGAAGACCGCACACGGCATTCTCACGTTGCTCCAAGTTCTGGGCTTCCGGATCAACTGGGAGAAGAGTGCTCTCGTCCAAACACTGGTGATCCAGTACCTGGTCATCAAAGTGGACTCAATCCAGATGACAGTAGCCCTGCCGGAGGACAAGCTGAGGGCTACTGTTCAAGCATGCAGTCAGGCCAGCAAGAGGAAGAGAATCGCGATTCGAGACCTGGCCCGATTGATAGGCAGGATGACAGCCACCGCAATGGCAGTCCTCCAAGTACCCTTGTGTTACAGGAACCTCCAACGGCTGAAGAATCAAGCTCCCCTCACCGCATCCGGCAACTACGAGGCCGAAGTCCTTCTTGACCAAGCCGCAAAGGAGGAGTTGCAATGGTGGAAACACGAACTCCTGCAGTGGAAAGGGAGACCATTGCAACCTCCTCCTCCAGACCTCACCATAGAGATGGATGCCTCTCTGGGCTGGGGTGCAGTAGCAGACAGAGTGGGTACATGGGGTCTCTGGTCGGAAGAGGAACGCCAGAGACATATCAACCACCTGGAGTTGTTTGGCTGGCAGTGCAGACCTACACAAAGGACAAGACAGTGTCTCACGTACACCTGCGGATGGACAACCAGACGGCGGTGTGACACTCTCAGCCGAGTACCTCCCGGGGTCACACAATGTGACAGCAGACAGGGAATCTCGGACACTCCAATCATCTGCCGAATGGAAATTGAACAGGTCAGCGTTCCTGGAAGTGATGAACCTTTACGGCCCGTGCAATGTGGATCTCTTCGCATCGAGGCTGAACTTTCAACTTCCTCACTACATCAGTTGGCGGCCTGACCCATACGCAGCAGGAACAGATGCTTTCAGGGTCCGATGGACAGACACCCAGGGATATGCCTTTCCTACATTTGCCCTGATAGGCAGGTGCCTACAGAAGATACGCCAGGAGGGTTCGACAGTGGTGCTGATTGCTCCAGTTTGGACCTCCCAATCATGGCTCCTGGAGATGCTGGCTTACCCTCCAGCCCTTCTGCCGGTCTACAGGAATCTGCTGCACGACCTTTTCAACAGGGATCACCCTCTGCTTGTCAAGGGACAGCTACAGCTAGCCGCTTGTAAAGTATCCGGTGTACCTGCTCACTCTCAGGCCTTCAGATATCATCACAGCAGGATGGCGAAGAGGGACAAACTCGGCCTACCAGTCAGGCTGGGTCAAGTGGAATGGCTGGTGTGACGCAAGGCGTCTCAATCCCGTTTCGTGCAGTGTCCAGCATTTCTTGGAATTCCTGACCAAGGTCTTTTACAGTGGACTGCAACATCACACTATCAACGTTGTCCGTTCGGCCGTGTCAATGACGCATGAGAAGGTAGAGGGAGTTCCCATCGGCCAACATCCTCTGGTAACACGACTAATGAAGGGAGTCTACAATCTCAGGCCGCCTAAACCTCGGTATACTTACACATGGGATTTAGACATGGTAACTCAGTATATAGTGGTGAAAACACCACCCTACCCCTGAGACAGCTGAGTCAGAAACTGGCCCTTCTGATGGCACTGGTCATGACAAGCCGAACGTGTGAGTGGCATGCATTGGACCTGAAGTTCCGGGTGTATCGCCCTAATGGGGTACTCTTCCGCCTCACTGGTATCACCAAGACTCAGAGGGTGGGATCGCCACCAAAAGAGCGCTTCTTTGGTGCCTTCTCTGATAAATAGGATTGCCTCAAATGCTATGAAGAGACGACTGCCAAGCATAGAGATCCATAATCAGAGGAGCAGCCTCTATTTTAAACATACATCAGGACGTTTAAGCCGGTGACCTCCCAACGCATTGCCCACTGGACCAGAGATATCCTACCAGAAGCTGGGGTGGACACCAGAGTGTTTAAAGCCCACTCTGTACGTGGGGCTTCAGTATTGGCTGCCAAAAGTAAAGGAGTCAGTATACCCGACATTCGCGAAATGGCAGACTGGAGCCGAGATACCACCTTCAGGAAGTTTTATTACCGCACGACTACATCCAATCATTATACTCAAAGTGAGTGGATATTAATGTCGTGCCGAGTGGTATAGCCATATGAGGCAGGAAGATTGTCAGGAGTTGCCTGGCTTCTATCAACTGTAGTTTTGTTCGCTGCTGGGAGGCTTTGAAGTCTACCAGTGGAACAAGCAGCGAATCTTACAAAGTATAATTAAAAATTTGACAAGGGCCTGAAGGGTCCGAAGTTAAGTTGGGATTATACAAGTGAGATGAGCAAGTGTAACACTGGTCTAATAACGCAGTATAGAGCTTTACTGTTTGTTTAATGAAGTGTGAGGACAAGTGAAGTGCGAGGACAATGGTGAAATGATTCTGTATGTAGATGAACGCAGCATTGTAAAACTGGTTAGTTGAGCAAATGTACAAGTCATAGACTTCCCACAAGCAGATGGTATTACCTGTCTAATGTGCTTTTCGTAGCTGTGCATCACACAAGGTAGCACACTCATACTTCGCAACAATAGAAGGCTTGTGTGTAGGAAATTTTACACGAGCAAGCGATGTCAGTTCAAAGTATGTAGCCATCTTCCATTATACTACTGCATCACGTTCACTAGGTCATCCCTGTCTTGTCTCCTTGCTTTTTATGGCATCCCTATATACCACATTTTATTAATTCGAAGAATGTTTTTATTTACTTGTAGCAACTGTCATTGCGGGTTTTTTGTCGTGATGTTTGGACACTGGGTGTGTGGGGAGAGTTGGCATGCCATAAAACACTCTTTTAACCCACCGCCCCAGTTCTCTAGGCTGGGCAACCACTGTCCTCCCTTTTATGTGCAAGTGTGCTGTTTATCTCGTGTGTGTACCTGGATGGAGGGTGGGGGTCTTCGGTTACTTCTATTCTCTATTGCTAGTATGCTATAAACATGCTTTTATGCAGTGTTGTTTTATGGTGGGGATTGAGGATTCACATAGCTCTTACTTCTGAGTAAATATGTTCCAAAATTGGGCCTATCTATTTGAGAAATAGAAAAATTAAAAGAACCAGGGTACATATATACAATTCGTTTCGTTTTGAGTTATGGAAAGAGAAGACACAAAATCTCCTCTATGGTGCTAGTTACCATGCCAATACCTAAGGTATAGTCTTTAGTATATGACACACATTATCCTTGATGAGAATTCTTGATAACAAGTTCCAGCCTTAGGCTATAAAAACTTGTAAATGTTGTATGTGCCTGCTCTAGGCAATCTGGCAATGTGGATAAAGACTCATTTTAGCCAGATCTAATATGAAATAGCCAGCTATACATGATATTTCTTACAACCAGGAATAAGTGGCACAACGCAGAGTAGGATAAAGAGATATAGCAGGTACAACAACACTATTTACAATCAACAAAAGACAAAAACATGAGGTTATGATTATAAGGATGACCCTGTACTTTTATTGATTGAGTACAACATTATGAATGCTCTATAAAAGTCAAAACCTTTGAGGTATAGCGTGTCCACTGACATTTATATAAGAGTTGATACATTAATTGTCTTGAGGCTAGAGCCTGGTTTAATAAAATACCCCTTTCCACAATCAACAAATGAAACCGGAATAGTGAGTGCTAAGGAGAGTGTCTGTCGGTATTGGTCTTGCATTTAATTTGAACACAGTAGCCACTTGATCCAAACCCTGTATTGATGATCTGCTGAAGCTCTTAGCAATCATTTGCTTTAAAGTGATCCATTCCACTTATAACTCTTGACATTAAGAACAGGTTGAAGTTCAATCGCACCTACAGTCTCCACTGAACTGAGACAGTGAGGTAAAAGAATGCGTCTCATTGCTGCCGTAAAAAGGTAGGTCAAAGAGTGTGTCTCATTGCTGCCGTAAAAAGGTAGGTCAGCTATGACTTCCGTGCTTGTAGATGTGCTCCCCATCTTAACAAGACTAAGCAAATGCTTTCAAAAAGGTCAAGTTGCCTTCACGACTATCACCGATGGGGTGACCATCACCACAGCTTTCCTAGTAACTTGCATCAGCTAGTGATCAAGCCCTCAATTACCAATAGGTTCCTAGTGTACTGGCAATTGACAGTGCAGCTGGGGCAGAGACTCCGCGGAATTGATGTCTGAATGCGTGAGAATGTATGTTACTCTCGGTGAGAATACCAACAGGATTAATGTACTCCTATCAGTATAGTGGAATTTCACTCAAGAATTTTTGAAACTTTCACACAACATACGCCCTGCACGTATTGTTAAGGCTGAAGTGAGAACCTCCTTCAACCCACGACTAAGGCAGCAGAGTAGCCAAGGGAGTGGCGGACAACGATTACAAAAACGACAATACGCCCCCCACAACATTAGTGGGATCCAGCGGAGAAGCAGCAGTTGGATTGGCCATGAGGCTGAAGGCCAGTAGCACGGTGGACCAAGAAGCTGCAGGACTGTCCACTACCACCGGACCAGTTGTCACACGTGGCATCAACACGAATATGTGCATGTAGGTAAAATAGGTGCCAGGTACGCATAGTGGTGCAAGTTGAGGAGAAAACATTTGCTAAATAGACATGATAATTTAGGCGAATGCAGTGCATTTTGGCGAGCAGAAGCGAGAACACAGTGACTGCATCTGCACGAGCAATCCTAGCCTATTTACAACTTGCACCTTGGAACCAAGAGGAACAGCATCGGGTCCGCCACCGAAGAGCGCAGAGAATGCCGCCAATGGATAAGGGTTCTCTCGTTGACTAGATTGTGCATCGAGGATCTAAACAGTGCGAGAATTCATTTCTGATAAAAAGAAGCCAACGCATGCACAGTTGAATGACGTACGGACGTACATACAAGAAAATCACGCCGTTCAAACCATTAGGTTAGCTCACTCGCCAACTAATAAAAGGGGCATGTGATTTCAAAACAGAGGTTTGTATTTGCTAAATTTGAGGTGCAAATTTGCTACAAAGAAGAAACTGAGTCACTGACTTACTTAATGGAAGCACTTATTTACTAAATCAGGTGCTGATTTACCAAACCGAGTGTAGATTTACACAATCGAAGAGGGGATTTAATATTAAAAATGAATAAACACTTCCACATTTACCGGCGCCATTTTTATTACTACAAAAAAATTTTATTGATATTGGCACCCAAAGTTAAGCTGCAATGATGTTTGCTAATTGGCGAGCGGGAGCGAGCTAACCTAGTGGTACGAACGACGCGGAATTTTCCTCATATATATATATATTTATCACGACCGTCCGTCGTCCAACTGCGCATGCTCCAGGATTACGCGCTTCTTTTTATCCGAAAGGATTTCAAAATGTTCACATGCTGCCTGCCTGTCATAATGTATACGCTTGTGTGTAGCTCTGTGTACTCAAGGATCAGTCCAGAGAAGATGCCCTTCGTCGTCGAAGAGAGAGGTAAAGAGAACATCGTGCCCGTGTGACTCCTGAGCAGAGAGAGGCTCGTCTGTATCAGCGTCGCTTGCGTGACAGGGAACGCTCTTATTCTTTATTACACGCTGCCTAGCTGTCATATCGATGCGAAATCTATATATTCGCTGGCATTCGCTGCACTCTTCGATACCTGACCAAGGCTGTATATACCTCTTTCCAATCTTCGTGGTTCTAAGGTTCAAGTTGTAAATAGGCTCGTGCAGATACAGTCATTGTGTGCTCGCTCCGGCTCGCCAAAAATGCAATGCATTCGCCTACTAGTACTTATACTTACATGGCATATTAATCCAAATCCACAGTATCTTGGCTCTATACCAACATTGATCATCAGAATGAAAAACGCAACAAATATCACCAGCAACAAAATTGGACATTGACACAGGAGTACACAACTGATGCTCATAATAAACCCTACAATAAAAGAGAAGACAGGAATGACATGTTAACCCTTAGCATGACATAACTACAAAACACATCAGGGTAGTCTAGTGGACCAGTGGAAAGTCCAGACTATCTAAATGATTTAGTGTGCCGCTGTCAAACCACACTTTTTACTTACTTGGACACTAAGGAAAATACATACATGGGTCTCAATGTCCAAGTACGTAGCTCGTGTACCGCAGTTATTGGTGGGGAAAATACCTGCATATGACCAACGACCACTCTGAAACCCAACGTCCAAGCATCTCGTGTACGGCAGCTACAGTACTTGGACAATCGAGGAAAGTATCAGCATAATGTCCACTAAAGCAATCTCAAACCCGATGTACAAGTATCACGTGTACCACAGTTACTTGGATAATGAAAAGCACTAAAGTGCAAACCCTCGGCACTAAACGCGCGAGTTGTAGTATCGCTGTATGCTGGCGGACGACGGAGTCAGTAACACGAGTCTCCCCGTAACACAGGGTAGTTGGTTAGAGCAATTGCTCAGGTGTTTCAGAGGCTCTCATATTTGCTTTATTCAATCTATCCGCTCTTCTGTGCTCCAATGCTCTCGCCAGATGTTTTATAGATGGGAAGGCATGGTTTGCATCCACAAACTGCTCGCCACCTGAACTATTATGCTACATTGCGAATATACCTTGCTCAGCAGGTTTATCCAAAGAGAAGCCTGTGGATCATACAACCGATGTGGCGTAGCGAATGCTCCGGCGAAAAATTTACATGACGCGTGCGCATGCCGGAGAGGGCGCGTGCGCAATCGACCGCACGTTGGCTTTTTCGCTTGTTTTCACGCCATATCTCTGGAACACAGTCGTTTCAGGAAAATCGCCACATTAATATCCATCTTCTCGTTGTTCACAACCCGTTGGTGCCACTCATTGGCCGCCTTGTAGCCTGTAGTGCGAGAACTCGCGCGGACAGACAGACAGACAGACAGACAGACAGACAGAATGACAGAACGACTACCGTAACCCTCGCTGCGCATGCGCGCCGAGGGTTAGTCAGGGAAAACACCTGGATACGTTTAACTAACACTCGCAGATCCTGATAATTGTAAGTATACTTGGTTGAATACTCTATGAACTAACACAAATTTTTTTGCCCAAACGTTACAACTGCTCTGCAGTCCTCATCAGTGGCAAAAAGTACATAAATAGTAGGCAATGGCTGAGTTTTTAAGGCATGAGAGACAGAGGAATGAAAACTAAAATCCAATGTAACTAAGAGAAAGCAAGAGGCAAGAATGAAAATGAATAGCAAGGTAGTTAGGTTTACAAAGGTTAAAATACTAATTCGTAAATTATGTACAGCAACAAGTAAAAAAAAAAAAAAAAGGGGGTACGAAAAGATGAAGGAAAGAAACACTTCAACGCAAACAGCGATACACAGGTAGAAGGGGCCCCCCTTCCCCGTTGAAGCTGTTATGCCTCTGTATATGCCATGACTCAAGGGCATACCTTCGAAACTGGTTGTTCTCATGGTCAAGGATTGAAGTAGATTGGAAGTCTACTTGATGGCCCAATTTCCAAACATGCTCAGCCACAGCAGACACATCAATCTTCACATGTTTCACTGCTGCCTTGTGGTTGCTGAGACGCGTTTCCAACAGGCGGCTATTCTGGCCAACGTAGACCTTAGAGCAGGTCTTACAAGGAATGCAGTAGACTACGTTGGCTTGTTTGAGAGGAGGAACTAGGTCTTTGACTCTGACCAGTTGTTTTCGATGGGTAGAAGCTGGCCTGTATACAACCCGAATTCTCAGAGGATAGAGAAGACGTTGTATTGCCTCCAACAGACCCCCAACATACTAAGGGATTACAATAGACCATGACCACTCATTTCTTGTACTTTTTTCAGGTATGTCAGGCTTCTTGTTTCTCACCCTATGCACGATACTCTTTGGAAAGTAATGTTGTTGAATTTGAGTTTCTTGCATAGTGTCTTGTGTTCAGTAATTGTATGTTGGGTGGTAGAGCACAGATCCTTTGCTGGGTGAAAGAATGTGCTCACCACAGCTGTCTTGTGTGTTAGAGGGTATTGCGAAGACAAATCTAGATACCTGTTGGTATTTGTGGGTTTACGATGCACACTGGTAGAGATAGTACCGTTGTTGTTGTGATGTACAAGAATGTCAAGGTAAGGAAGTTTGTGATCGACCACCAAGCCAGCAACCAAGCCAGCCAGCCAGCCACTCAGCCAGCCACAGAGTCAGCAACCCAGTGCCGGCTGGTTGAGCAAGTGGTTTCGGAGCTACAATGGTACACTGCCTAGATTACCGTATTTGGATCTAAAGTGCCTTGATTTGCTCTGATAATTAACGGTCAGATAAACAAATATTTTCAGAAGCCGCGAACTATTAGCAATCATCTCTGAAAAATGGACTTTAGATCTCAGAATTACCTACTTCAAAACTAAGCATGCGAACAAGGGAGCAGCAAAAGCAGCATGTCTTCATCCAAGACGAGGAAGCAGCACACCTGAAAAACCAAGGAAGCAGCACGCCTGAAAAACCAACCAAGTGCCATAAGCCAAGCCTGGAGCACCACTTTTAGACTACTTCTAAAAGTGGTGCTCCAGTGAAGAACTAAATGTTTGAAGCTATTTGTTGTTATTCAAACAATATGTGGTCGTCATGGAAACGATGTAATACGCATGGCAAGTACAGGATATCCTCCTTAACTATACCAGCCTCGGGCTCTGTTCTCGTCCGGTATAGTCAACGGCCTCGGAGTATATCCTGTACCGCCTCACCACCTATACATTGACTAATACATGTGGTTGCGCATTGGTATACGCATGCCCAAAACCACGGCTACATGCGCATGCCCAGAACCACGGCTACGTGCGCATGCCCACAAAACCGTGGTCGTAACGCTCATGCAGTTATAAACAGTATAATATATGCACTACACAGTCCAGTATTCGGCGCATGCGCGGTACCGCTAATTGATGGGTTGGGCGATAATAACTGCCATGGTCTCGAGTCAGATACCTGCAGATTCCGGCACAGAGTCTCAGATCCTACCTGCAGGCTCTGCCATTCTGGACCAGAAGATATAGAACACGTTATCTCTCACTGCCCCGCCCTCTCCTCAGCCCGTATTCTTCCGCCACTGCTGGCCGCGTCGTCATTGGAATCGGACCCGACCGGTTTTGCAGAGTACATCCTCGGCAGTCGGTGGATCAACGATCCACCTTTACTCATTGTCTCCCGCTAGTAGCTCACGGACAGTCTGACACGGGCTAGCTACAGTAGTAGATAGCATGCGGGAGTTGATACACGTTTCTTGTAACTTTTTGTGCCTTTCACGCCATAACTTCTGAACGCGGCACTTTGACGAAATTGTGATTTTTTAAAAATAAGCCAGTGTAGCACTGAACCCGTTGGTGTTGCTTTTTTACCTGTTTGTTGCGCGTGGTGGCAGAAAACGTGATAACAGACAGACGGACACACAGACAAAGCTGCTCATGCGCGCCTAGGGTTAATAACCAAAATACTGTTTGTAAACAACAACAAACAGCCTGAGGCATTTTTCTTTTAAATTGACTTCTTCACTTCTCTAACTTTCTAATGGTAGCATAAACATGAAACTTGCATATTATATCATTTCGATGACATCTACATGTTTCCATGACGACTACACATTATTACCCTCGGCGCGCATGCGCAGCGAGGGTACGGCAGTGAGGACTGTCTGTGTGTCTGTTACTCTACATCTCACTTCTCGAGTGTTTGTTCGTCTCTCAAAGGATATGACCTACTTAATGGGCAATGAAGGTCAGAAAATTCGAACGGTTTTCTCAGAAACTGCTCTGTTGCAAAGCTAGAGCACGAAAAAGCCAATATATGCGAAAACACAATGGACGGGATGGTTTACCATGGTCTGATTGATCCGCGTGCTCTGCGTACCTCGGAGGCACCAGAAGATGCAACACATGGCGTGTATCGCCTCTCGCATGTTATCTAGTAGTCAGACTCTGCGCGAGCTGGCAAGATACCACGAGTAACGGCTAAAACTAACCCCAGCCCATCAATTAGTGGTACGGCGCATGCGTTTACTTACGCGTGCACGTCACAATGCGCCGAGGGTTTGCACTTCAGTGCTTTTCTTGAACAAGCCTCAGGCACTTCTCCTCGTTACGGGATACTCACGTGGGCGTGCCTACATGTTACAAAACTTTTTTATTACCAGCGTTTTAACCACGCCAGCACCTCTTTTTATACACACGCTGTATAGTAACGTCGTTTAGTACGCACAACAGAGCTGACAATACCGCTGCTGTAGGCTGGTTCACATCTTACCAAACTTCTCGCCAAAAATCTAGGTTAGGAGCAGCTCCAGCGCCGTCATTTTCGTGTGAGAGGTATATACTCCTCTGCAGGCTCTAGCATCCTACGAAAGCTTTTTCGATCCGGTTTGAGATGTCTCAAAAACAGCGGCTAGCGTAATAAAAACGTGCTCTTTCGCGTGGCACTCGAATTTCACAATTTCATAACTGACGGAACTGTGCTAAGAAAAAAAGCTTCGGTTAATGTATGTGACTCCATTAAATACTGCCCAACACTCATTGCCTAATGGGGTTGGTTTGGAGGTATCGTGCAAGGGTCATCCCAATTCAAGGTATTTTTAGGCTCTATGCTCATCTTACCGGGGGCACTCAAGGCGCATGCTCAGTGGGCGGGCTTTACCTAACGATGGCCCCCATACTTATTCCTCTTACATGCACATCTATCCTTGCACGCACCCCCTAACGGATGGGTGGAGCATGGGGCACCCAGCCAGCATGGCTGATTCTCCGCCTACGGGATGACCCTTACACGAAGGCCACATCCTTAGGTAGGATTGGCAAAGATGAATAGGGAAAAGAGAGAAAGAGGAACGAAAGGAGACGAACAGGGAACGGTGAGATAGAGATGCTTGCTTGCTTGCTTGTGGTGCCACTTGCCTGGCTGCAGTGCCAGTAGCTTCCTGCTGCTTAGCCTGCTGCATTGTAGAGAGACGCTGCTGTCTCGCCACGTGCTGCTGATGCTATTGCGCATGCCTAGTTGCTTTGGCACGCCCTCATTCAATGGGCTGCCACTACTACCCTTCACCAATGCCTAGTCGTCCCTACATTAACTCTGTCTAATTGTCATTAAACATCATTATATAGGGTGCTTTATTTGCCATCCGAGTCTACTTTTATGTGCTTTGCCCGGCTAAAATCGGTCCAGTATGTTTTATTTTTGGCGAGAAAAAGTTCTTACTCAGCCGGCCCATGCGTCGGATCAATGTACGTGACGTCATGAAAAAGCGCGAGTATACCGTAACCACGCATGGATATGAAACTTGGCCCGCATGCATCCATGACAACCACACAGGGGTGGGGCAGAGGGGGGCATAAACTAAGATCTAATGCCCATATTGACATAGACGCTGAACTAAAGCCGACTCGCTATTTCACAGCTAGGCCACTGGCAACTATTATTATTCCAAGTAATGACACCATTCACAAGAATTGTAAACTACACACTTCGATTGTGAAAGACTTACCTAGGCAGACAGCTGTGTAAGTTTCCAGTGTCCTATTGCCACACAGTAATTTTTACAGTTATTAACCCTCGGAGCGCAAGCGCAGCGAGGGTTACGGTATTTGGTCCGTAGTCTGTGTCTGTCTGTCTGTCTGTCTGTATGTTACCACGCTTTCTGTCACTATGTGCAATGAGACAATGAAAGAGCGATACCAAAAGGTTCAGCACTACACCAGCTTGATTATAAATGAGTAACGTTAAGTGGATACTTCCAGATTTGTTGTAAATTCCTGATTTTACCCCTCCGTCACTCATTGGCTGCTTTACGCGCAGCGCGGAAAACGCGAACTCTTCTGCGCGCGGAGAGAAGTACGTATTAGCTGGTGAGAGACAGCTGAAATGGCCAATATAACGCCAGATCAAGCAAGACCTTGAACCACCAACGAAGCGCTTAAGACCCAGGAAGGTTAGTTGCTTCCAGTAGCTTCTTCCTCTTCTCACATCGCACTACACTTTACCCAGCAGATGTCTACAGAAAAGATTGTCCAGTCGTTCACATGTGCTGTGGCGGTTGCTGTCGGTGTTACACACGTGCAGACACCTCTTTCATCTCATCCCTCGGTCACGCGGTCGCGGTGTGTGTGTGTGTGTGTGCGCACTAGCGCAGACGTGCACAAAGAAAATTGGGTAAACCCTGGCATTTACAACCAAGCTGGAAATCTCGCACTGAATGTTACTCTTTCGTAAAAGCAATGCGTTCAAGAGTTATGGCGTGAAAACCAAGCTAACAAGCCAATATGCTATTGGCTTACCTCCACCAGATATTGTTGCTATTTGAGCACTGCGGAGGCACGCCATCAACGGAAGACGAGTGTAGAGTGCGGCGAAACGCTAGTTTAAATATGTACGCAAAATATAGCTAGCTGAGCGGGTATCCCGACTATGGCGTGCCGTTTGTGTCAAGAGCGACGAATTTCTACGACGATTGTTTATCAAGTGACAGAATTCTGTCAAAAAGGCTAACAATCTTAGCATGAGGCAGCGACCAGGTAAGGCGATCACTGGCGACGATTTTTGTGATCGGGTGGGAGAGCTGAAAGGTCAACTTTCCTCGAGTGCCTAGAGGGAGCCTGTAGCCAATACAATTGGTCCCTTTCAAGTTCCGCCTCTACTGGTTTCGAGTAAGTTAACATTTGAACTCTCCCACCTGGATCACGAAATATCGTCGCAGTAGGAAAGTAACGTGCTGCATAACTGGTCGTCGCCCTAAATCTAAGATTAGTTCCCTTAAGAAGCTTTTGTCGCTTGATAAACAATCTTAGCCGTAGTAATTCGTTGCCACGAAAGAAGAATCGCCGCCCTGAAAATCGATTCGTCACCACGATTACTGAGATTTAGGGGGGAAAATCGTTTTGACACAAACGGCGCACCATACCCGACTGCATCAACCGCGGGTAATTATGCCGATCCCTCCGCGCCTGCGTACATGTTACACTGGCGCGCACGTTTGCGATTCGTATGCGTATATATGCATCGAGCATGCGTAGACACTGAGCTCAGTGTGGCTTCATTCGTCGTTTATGGCACGCCGTTTGTGTCAAAACAATTTTCCCCCATAAACCTCAGTATTCATGACAACGAATTAGTTTCTGAGTGACGAATCGATTTTTCGGGGCGACGATTCTCCTTTCATAGCAACTATTCTTTTTTCGTTGTGACGAATTTCTACAGCTAAGATTGTTTATAAAGCGACGAAAGCTTCTCAAGGGAACTAAACTTGGATTTAGGGCGATGACCAGTTATGCGGCACGTAACTTACCTGCTCCGACGATACTTCGTGATCCAGGTGGGAGAGTTCAAAGGTTAACTTACTCGAAACCAGTAGAGGCGAGATTTTGGAAGGGACCGATCAATGTATTGCATTGGCTACAGGTGCCCTCTAGGCACTCTAGTAAAGTTCACCTTTCAACTCTCCCACCCGATCACAAAAATCGTCGCAGTCGATCACTTCAGAGCACACACGCATTAGCTAACAGCCTTTGTTCCCAGGTCTAACTTTGTTGATCTTCGACTTCTCAGATACTTCCGATACTTAGCCATTAATTCGTGATGGTGATATTCTAAGTCCTGGAACCAAATTTGTCTGATTTCCGCGTGATCATGGCTGTGTTGTGTATGATGAGATGATGATGGTTTCTGTCACTCTTCGATTTTCAGGTTCCTAGGATTTAGGACATGTTGACTGTCTATTTTCATTTCAGGCTTGCTTTATAAAGACAGTCTGGGTCTTCTAAACATGTTCATTGGCCTAGGGTCAAACACTGATAGGGATGGGATACATGAAGCATGATCAATGAACAGATTTGAGCACGCTGACACCCCGACCACATCACACAATCCCTATATTGTTGCCTAGGTGAAGTGTTAAAGCTACACTATTGCTTATATAGCTTGAAAATACGAAAAAGTCATTCTACTGAGTACCATCGTTACCACAACAATGTGTAGCCTGAAAAGTCATGCTACTGAGTAACCAAGAGTACAAATGGAGTTCACAAGGGTAACAATATAGGGATTGTGTGATTTGGTTGGGGGTGTCAAATCTGTTCATTCATTAGCCACGCTTCATGTTTCCCATCCCTACCCTTTCTCCCTTTTCTGTTTATACCATCCCTAAATGCCTCTTTTTAATTTGCAGGATTTTAAATTTACTTTTGTCATAAAGCAGCTGTTACCCATTCCTTATGTCAGTTTTTGTTACACTGCAACAGGAAGTAGATCCTACTGCTGTATGCCTGCCTGTGCATTTTTGTTCCACTGCAGCTTCTTGATGACGTTCTGTTTGGTTTTGAAATGGCTGTAGTAGACCATACTGTTATCTCCCAATTCCTAGATACAACTGTTCTGGCACTAGAAAAACAGTTTGTGAAGCTAAGGTTAAGCAACTAATTCCCCGTACGACAGCAGAGCTGAACCAACTGTACCAGTAACTAAACACTAGCCAGAGAACCCAGACAATGATTATCAGTTGGTGCGTGTTAAGCAAATGAGCAAGACGGAGATGGTTTGACTCCCTTTTGATGAGGATAATGTGTGAAGCTGCCCAACTTCTGAACTCTCATGGATAACAGAGTGTACCACAGCGTATACATCATGCTAATAACTTTATCCTTCACCAATGGCTCATATTTGCATGACTGGAGGTACACAAATCGTACAACAGTATTACATAGTTCATCATGTATCAATATTCACACATAACCCTGCAGGGAAACCGGATCAAAGTGGATTACTGCATATATTGTAGCCCTATTCAGACTGCTATAGGTTTAGAGGTGCTCAGAGAGGAACACGTGTTCAACAGCACCCATGATGGGGGTCGAGATCGGATTTCCCGCACAGCAGACTAGACACGGCTGCAACATTAAACACTGTAAATTAAGACTCCGTGCATAGGTGTTTTAAACAAAAACTCCATATATTGCACACTGGCGGAACAACTGAGCAGGTTTGTTGTAAAAGGCACGCAAGAAACTCACCATTGTCTTCCTTTATTTTCCGTAGCGTATGAAAAGATTTGAGCACTGGTTTAGCTCTGTGCTTCGGCCACGAAGACATATCTACAGAAGGATGCTCGAAAGTTCAGGTCCGCATCAAATAGCCTATTGTACTGTACACCTTCAACACAAACTTTTCGTAGCACGCGTGACATCGTATCTATAACCTATAGGTTCAGGTGCAGCTACATCTGGTCTCGGGTGTCTTGTTTTTGTATTCAGACCCATGTTTTGTTCTCGTATGCAGACCCATTGTCTAATCTACATACTGCATTTACCTCATTGCTTCCATCAGCTCAATAAGATGTGGTGTGTAAGGTTGTGCGACAAAGTTGTGCCTTCCACCACATTCTACCAAGAGTACTGCGATACTGTCACCCACACTAAGAGTAATGTGGGGTAATGGCATACCTGGGAAAAAAAGTTAGCGGTCGCATGATGTATAGTGTACAAAACCCGAAAGGGCCAAAAAGCATTGGCAGAGTCCTTCATACAACACACTGATTATACAAGCTCCTCTAGCTGGAAGGAAGAAACAAACACTGTCTATAGCTCCGCCGTATATACCTCGCAGGTTTTCCACGTGAGCCGGCTGTAAAATGGCTTCCACACGTACGGAGCTGAGAGGCTCTCGAATTTCACGCTCCAATTTCCTAGGGCGGGGGGGTCTGGGTTCTCTCTCTATAAGAGACTACACTGAGTGGGGAAACCCGCATGCGCGTGCAAGGCGCACACGTACCTAGCTACGTACGTGTTCAAAGGCCAGGTACGGTATGGCTCTAGATTATGAGTGGAACTGCCCTTCTTGTACGTACATAAACAAGGCTGGAAGTTACAAGTGTTTGATATGCGGTACTCCGAAAGGCACTTCTACCCGACAAGTGAAGTAAGTCTAAGTAAGAGGGAGGTAGTGGCACTTGCATTGCATGTCAAGATGCTAAGCTAGTGAGGGTGGAGCCCCTGAAAGGGGCAAACCCCAAAAGGGGGTGTGGCAACGCTCCCTAAAACTTGTCAACCATGTTTGTTGATGAAATGTGGAATGAATGTTTATTAAAACCTGGTTGTAAATAACGGCTGAGGCCCTTTTTCAAATTACTTCTCCACTCGTAAAACTTGCTAATGGTAGTCATCATTCTGATTTACACAGGTGTGTATTTCAGACCAACGTTTTTACCAGGGCCTTCATATTGATGTACATGTGTGTAGTAGTGAGAGGAGACAAGTAAAAAAATCTTCCGAATTTAAGAGACGAGTATAGGGGTGGTAATAGCATTTGGGCATTAAACATAATATGTTTCATCACGACCTATAGCTAATACAAGTCTCTGCAATGTTGTGTTACTAACAAAGAAGTAATCACCACCCTTATGAAGTTCTTAGGAGTGACACACTGGGCAACAATTGCGATGGGCTCGAGGTGTCAGCGTGCTCACATCTGTTCATAAACCATGCTTGGTGTATCCCATCCCTTTCCTTAGTCCTCTAATAATATTAATTTTGGGAATAACCGTTCCACACTTTTTCTATTGGAGGGAAAATCAGTGCGAACTTCAGGAACTAAGCATAACACAACTAATTTTTAAAACCGCCTGCAGCCCTCGGACATCATGTCACAACTGTACCAACATATCCCATGCAGCCAGGCTATAACTATTTCTTGTAGCAAAGCTGCAGACAAGGCTGTTAGTTCCGCTGTTAAAATTAGCTATTGCTAAAACACCCTAGGTATGTATAATGGGTGTATTAGCATTTAACCCATGGCAACGGGTGTATTAGCAATGCAGTTGGGCTTACGAATAAATACGTGAAAACGGCTGGTTTTTCAGCGCTTGCTTTGATGTTCTGTTCACAAAGCACAGCAAGCAATGTGTAGAATCGTTCGTCATCCTCTTTCAACCGTGGGTCGTTCGTACGTTTCCCTACGTCGTTGATCGGTGGTCTACCGCTACCGACTTTTTTGTCGATCGTCTTGCGCATGCACATAAATCTTAACACAACAAACATGCATGTGTAAGATTTTAGGAATGCGCGTGCGCTGGATCAGGACAAAGAGTGGTTTCACCCGGAGTCTCCGTTATGTTTTACACTTCCCGGGCCCTTCTCAGCTGACTTGAAGTTAGCCCAAGGTCTTCTCTCTCTTCGCTTGCACCGCCTGAAGGAAATCGGGCAGCCATACCATCAAAAGCAGATGGCGCGGCCACACTCGTGTGCCTGATACAAAGGTCACAAATCCAGATGTATTAGCTTGAGCTGTCCTATAATTCTACGCATGCGCTTATACGCATGCTGTGACGTGCACGTCCGCAATTGAACGGCTACCATCCTGCTAAACAACACACGATCAAACAACAGACGACCAACAATTATGACATGACATGATGATCGATCACATCTGAACGCGGTTCTATTTCAGCACGACGATTTTGAATACACGATTACTGCACAACGACGTTTGGTAGCGTTTGCACTATTTTTGTCCCATTTGGTGCGCGCATATGGCTTGCACAAGGGGGCGGATACCGCTGCTATTGATTTGATGGCTGAGGGGCTGTAGCAATGAGGCTCCGAACTGAGATGAGAACGCCATAATCACTCAGTCGTTGGTAGACGGCTTGAAGATGCTGCTTTTGGTCTTCCGGCGTTGAACTTGCGATGAGCAAGTCATCAATGTAGGCGTAGCAAAAGTGTAGACCCCTGAGAACCTGATCAATGAAGCGCTGAAATGTTCGGGCAGCGGTACGGAGACCAGAAGAACTCAAACAAGCCAGATGGTGAAGTTATTGCAGTTTTCAGGACACCAGAAGGTTTGACAAAGATTTGGTGATAGGCCCTGTCTTGGAGTTGGAGAAGATGTTGTTTCCCGCCAGCGTGGTGGTGAAATCCTGTATGTGTGGTATGGGATAGCCGTCAGTAGTAATGGTACAACTGTTTAGTGCCCTGTAGTCTCCACAGAGGCGCCAGTCTGCTGGTGTCTTCTTTGATGTGTAATGGAGAAGACCAGTTGAGGGCCGTACTTTAGCACGAATTAATTGGAAGGCTAAGTGTGTCATCAGGATGAGATTCTACCTCATATTATGGAGCGTCGACGCACTAATACAAGAGGCAACCACACATGTTTGAATGGTAGAACTCGAACGAAAGCGCCATCCGTGGCTGCTGCCCTATCTCTCATCTGTTGTTGCATCCTTCGTAGCAGCTATGAGGGCTTTCGGTCGCCAAGCTCTTCAGTCGTCAGAAGTTGTTGGAGACGGCGTTGTTCAGATGCTGCCGTGCGCCAGACGAGTTGCTTGCGGAGAGTACCATACGAACTCTGGCGAAAGTGACGTGACGACGCAGTCAAACTTGGTCCTAATTCCACGGGTGGCAAACTGGGCCTCTATCTGAGCAAACTACACCTCAGGGTCCGATTGGCAGAATGGTGGCCGTTTGAGGCTGACCGCCGCAACTCTGATGGTCTCCGCTGTCTCTGCCATAGCTGGGGGGGTTGAAGGCGAGCGTGTTGATGCCGAGACATTGTCGTCACGAAACTATGGCAATTGCCACTGAGCCAACATCTGATTATCACTCTACACATACACATATTTGTAGTGAAAGATCACGTGCACAGAAAGTTCTAGAATTGTGATTGTTCACAGTCCGAGATAGCATGTGTGGTTCTCATTCCAGGGTCGGCGCACTTTTATTTCCCAATCACAAACACATAGCTACACTGTTCATACATGTACATGCCGGACTCCAACAGACGGGAGTGGTCCACGAGTCGGGAGATTAAAGGGACCGAAACTCGTGATCAATGAGGATCAGTAGGGGAGCTCCCCTGATGACCGGCCCTGTGTAATGTTGCACATGTATCAAATGGTATATGGAAGCACACTGCGGTTTGTAACTCCATGCACAGCCTGAGTGTATGTCCGGTGGTCCGGTGCTTTGATGACGCCGACAAGTCAGTCTCTCGTTCCCCACAACTCTCCCCACCCCTTTTCTTCACCAAACACACACACACACAGTACCTACTAGTTTAGCTACACTCTGGGCCACCGAGGTATGGGTAGAGAGAGAGGGTGGACCGGCCAAGGTTCTTACTCATGCATGCGTGCGCATTCATTTATAAAGTAGTTTGCCAAGGGTGTGAACGTACTGTAGGTGCTCATGTTAATTTTCACTTGATTGGACTCTTCTGCCATTTTGTGGAGGCAATGTAATTTTTAGGTGCCCACTGTGTTGAAATAAACTTGTTTTAATCTCATGTGCTGTAGGTTTTCTTTTTCAAGCATAGAGCAGCAGTATGTTGCTGAGTCACTTCAGACTATGTCTCGTCATCATGGCGGTGGTGCTGGAAAACGAAAGAAATGTTGTCAGCCAAGTACTTGCAAGAAACGATACCTAGGTATCTGTTCGTGTTCTTGGCATGACCAAGGGAAACTACTTGTGAAGGAGAATACCGAGCAAAGCCTTGCAGAAAGTATGGATAGCAAGAGGATCGAAATGGTGGGGATGTGTAAGTATAGATATTCTGCTCGTCCTGCTGAGCAGAAGGATGATATACAGAATCTTGTGTTGCAAAGTTCCCATCGGCAAGAAATATGGTAAGAATTTTGTAATTAAAAACCTGTCACCTTAAGGTTAGTGCACAAAATTTGTCATTGTTTCTCTCACTTTCAAAAGGACAGTATGCATTGCTGCTCTGTGTGTATTAGTTTGTGCCCGGGCCCAAGTGCCACATGAGATATGTGGAGCAGTTGTGGCAATAACAACTGTGGCAATAACAACTGTGCCAGTGCTCGCAATGGAAAGCCCAGGTAACAACTGATATATAGCGACTATCCTTCCTAGTCCGTCCGCAATCCTACACCATTTGCCATGTAATGAAGGTGTGCATACTACACTAAAGTATACACATATGCGAAGATCGGTTACCCTCAAGTACTACTGAAGTTTTAAAGCCTGTGGAGTTAGCTGGCATTCGCGAACTTGAGTCATGTGGAGCAAATTGGAGTAGGCAAGGTTTTACTTGCGAATTCTTTGCAGCCCACTGTCCCTAAAAGTAGCACTAAAGTTCATTCCCGTTCAGTAACTCCACCAAAACGTGATATTCGACCTTCAGTTGGCAGAAGGCCACCTAAATTAACTGCTAACCGAACTGGCCGCTCCTTTACCATTCTTCACTTTGTCGTGCTTCTATCACCTGCTCTCTCTATATTTTGTATGTTATACAGCTAAAAAAAGATACTCAGAGCGCAACGCACTCATGAGCGCGCGTAGATGCAGGCCGCATTTACGTCCGATGCTCGTTACCTGTAAAGTTACCTGTATGTCCCATATAGAAAGTATGGACGTTCCAGTGGCCACAACGAATGCAATCGTGCGTATGCGCTCGTAATACCCGAGCCGTGGTGTGCAGCGAGCGGGCTCTCTTCAAACAATCGATCTACAACTTCACAGTAGGTTTCACGCGCCTATAAGCTCTTGCTGGACTGAACCAAACTCGTGCTACCATGCTTGGGGCACTGTCTTTGCAAGGGGGTGTAGGCGGCACTAAATGCGTGGCAAACATTTTTTCGCTTGTAAACGAAAAATATAATATACAGAGAGAGCAGGTGGAAATTACAGATAGAAGCACGACAAAGTGAAGAATGGTGAAGGAACAGGCAGTTCGGTTATATAGCAGTTAATTCAGGTGGCCTTCTACCAACTGAAGGTCAATTGGACACTCAGTGGCCAGCTGGTGACGGGATGATCTTGCTCCCCTGATAGACATGATGCTGGCTCTTAGAAGTGCAATGCTCAGACGACATCTTATCCAATTCAGGGTCACTGCATAGGGGAGATATCTTTTCTCGGCCACCATCAAAGCGAGTCTCTTGAAGAAGGTTGTTGCGGCTGTCCAATGCCACCTGTTGTTGAAAACACCAGTGGTGTGAATGTTGCATGTTGGCCACAAACATTTGTGGTATGCTCGTTATGACGCGTGTTTGCGTAAACAGGGTGCAAGGTGAATGCGAACCTCAGCTCACTAGAAACACGCGTGTAGGAACTAAATACATTTCAATACCGATACCCATGCGCAGGTCAGCTGGGCAATACTGTCATGCATGGTTTTTCGCTAGCTCGCTGAATGTCTGACAAGTCTTTATAAGCAGATAGCGGATAGCATTGCAGTACTCAATACTCGTCCACCGTTGTAACTTGTGATGCCTGAATCACGTTGAGGTAAGCCAGTTCCTAAATAGCATATTGGCTTTTTCACTTGTTTTCACGCCATATCTCTTGAACGCAGTCATTGTAGCAAAATCGCTTTTCCCGCTCTCATTGTTATGACGCCGTGTGTACTGTCTCTAAAAGGCTGCATCGTAGCCTGTAGTGCGAGAATAAGTGTAGACACTCACAGACCAAGTATTGTAACTCTTGCTAAGGACACCGAGGGTTCATAAAAGTGCAAAACCTCCAACGACGCCCAACTCCAAACTGAGTATATTATGCATGTGGCAACAACAAGGTGAGGTAGAAAGGCAAAGGCAAAGCAAAGCAGTCAACTACACCCAGGACAGCTCTGCATGGTTCAAAACGCTACATAGGTAAACAGCATTTTAGGTATTGCGGGACCCTCTCTGTTGTAATTTCTTATGCCTGCACAGTGCACAACACGGGCGGGATGTAGCCAGTGTTAATAAGTCAAGCCATTGTGGCACTGTTGGCCATCTTTTTGCATGTAGTGGCAGAATAAACTCAGCTGATGGACATACGGACGGACATAATGATAAACTAACCCTTGCGCCATGCGCTAATGATAACAAGGTAATATTTCATTAGCCGTGTTCCATGCACAAAAGAGAAGGCCAGATCCACATCTATTGGCAAATGCACCGAATACAAATTTGTGGGCTTGTACAATACATAGCTTTAACACATGGTGATTAGGTGTAAATTCTCGCAACTGTGTCAGTCTAGTGGTGTTTTTCAATTGCTAGTCATTCAAAAACTTGTACGCATTTCATGCAGCTCTGTACTGCCGAGTCTAGTCGGCCAGTCTAGTGTTACAAAACCACGAAGCCAGCAATATTCATTCGTCGCATGTGTGAACTGTGTGTGCCGTGCCTTCTCTCTGTTGTGGAAGGCCTGTGAACGATACTCATTTTTGATATCCTGTAAGAATGCCCAGGACATTCTGTTTTTACAGCTTGGTGAAGAAATAATCATTACAGCAATGCAATATGCTTTGCAGCACATGTCACCAAAGTGAAACCCACAGATGGTAATCAGACACTCAATGAGAGTGGCTTTTTTTAATTATGTAGAATGTGTCACAATTCAACAAGGAATAGCCATCTCTGTGCTGCTGTGTTGTTAACCCACTGCAGTAGGCTGGCAGCATAGCCTGCAAAAACATAGCATTGGGTAAACTCTCTGCCAAATACCAATTCCATCAGGTGCTGTTGTATGTCATTCATGAAAACAGATCACCCCTCAGTAGTACTTAGGTTCCTGGCATGCCTATCTCAGCCTAAGTATTAAGTTGGTTGAATGGCATCACAGACGCAGCAACCATTTCTGAATTCTTCAACCTACACTGGACTACGGACACTAAACATTGCTGTATACCTTTTCCATCTGGATGAAATTGATTGCACAGTACTTCTGTCTGTTGCAATTGCTGTCTGTGTGTATGAATAATAAATAGTGCTCCTGGCTGGTGTTCAGGAGGACCAAGAACTCACTATTTTACGATTGTTATATGCCCAAATCTGTACCATGGAGAACACTGAAAGTGTTGACTCAGTGGGTTGGCTGGTTTGCATAAGGTACATGTGACACAACCGATGATGTGTGCACAACCTCCTCTGTCCACAGTCCAACAACATTCCCCTACCGTATTTACTCTCAGATGTTTTGCTTCATCAACAGAAATGCTTAAGTGCTACAGACAGTGTTGCCACCAATGGGGTTAGAGATACATCAGTTCTAGGTATAGTATGCACACCGAGACTGTGCCGAATATACCTAAATTTGTTTACGATACTCCACGAGGGTGCAGCCCAAGATCTGTATTGTTTACAACTGTTCGTAAGCAACTGCTGGGATATCCCGTACCGCCAAACGTGCGCCATACATTAACCTATTTGTAGCCTGACTGACCGACGGATCATGGTATTTTTTGACTTCACACTACAGTTTCTATGGTAGCTGTGCGTACCCATGTTATCGAACTCTGCTGGGCCCAGGGGGGACAGTGTCATGGAGGGAACAGCGAGTGGGTAGCTATAGCTAGTGCAAGGGAGCAACCAGCTTCCAGCTTGCATGGGATAGGAAGCGAGTGTGTTGGTTGTGTCCTGGCAGTTTTACTTGTGGAGGCAGGATTCACTAGGAGCTGCAAGGGGATCGAGCTAGGGCTTTGAGCTAATACCGGCTGGAATGCTCATCACCCAGGTAGAGCATAGTCAGGGAGCCGGACCTTGCAATAATGCTCGTAACGTGGGTGAACAAGTGAATGCCTGTTGAGGTGGATTTTTAAATCTGATGTATGCATGTGTGTATTTGCCTTGTTTCCAGACCGTGTTTTAGACAGGGAATGACACCTAGTGTACATTGTCCATCGAGAGTATACTTGTGGAGGTGTGTGCATGGCTTCCTGAAAACTATCATATCACTGTTTTGAGCCGTCCTGAATAATACTCATTGTTCATGTTTTGATGCTATCCAATTACCTTTGAAATTATATCAGCAGTTTTTAACCGTCGGTGTGCATGTGCCAGAGGATTACAGTATATAGTTAGTTCCCGAGGCTGTCTGTCTCTATGTCTGCTCTGCTTAATCTCGCATCTCGCGCTATGACTCACGCAACAAAAACACTAGAGTGTCAGGAAAACATAATTGATGGGGTGGGCTATTTTTGCTCACGGCAAAACTCACGGTCTCATGCCAGCTCTTCTGTCACGGCTAGTTACACTACTATAGCTATCGAATTCGAGAATCGATACTCACCCCTCGTTGCAACTTCTGGTGTTTCTAAGGTACGCCGAGCAAGCGGATCTGGTCATGTGTTTATTGGATCTAGTGTGGAGAACGGACCCAGTGCACAAGAGCCTCAAAACCAGGCCTTCCACGCGTGCATGCTCTGTACGTTATTGGCGAGCGTGAGTGAGCCAAACTAGTCGTTTGTTTGAGCGGATTTTTGTGACGGGCACCACGGAACTGCACGTACCGAAAGGTTTTACGTCATTCTAAATACGCGAAATGGAATGAAATTTCGCAATCGTCTCTCGCGTGGTTGGCTATACAGCCCGATCGATCGCTGCCTGGTGGACTACGACAGATGAGCTGAAAGCGTAAGGTAAGTACCGTTCTGCTCACCTGCTCACCGTTCTGGCAATATAAGTACGGCGACAGGTAAAAAAAGAAAGCTGTGCGCTGACGGCACATTATGCAGCCCGAACATCGCAGGCAAATCCCAAGTGAGGTCGATCCTTCTCGCCAACAATGTTCAACATTCTTCTAGTAGGCGAATGCATGGCATTTTTGGCGAGCGGGAGCGAGCACACAATGACTGTATCTGCACGAGCCATCCTAGCAGCGTGTCCTGCTGCAAGCGAGCCTCTCTCTCCTCGCCGGACTCGGTAGCAATTCTCTGCTCTTGATTCCTGCATAGTAACTGTAGTCGACCCTCTCTCTCCTCGGAAGACTCGGTGGCAATTCTCTGCTGTTGATTCCTGCGTAGTAGCGGTAGGCGAGCCTTTCTCTCCTCGCTGGACTCAACGGCAATTCGCCTTGTCTGATAGCTTCGGATCTGTTGGACCCTGGCCTGTTGCGTTTCCTCTGATTCCGCAGCACGTCTAGCTCTTACTCTTACACGACTTCTCGCTAGTCGTGCTTCCCTTTCTTCCGCTGTTTCCGTGGCCAGGCGTTGCCTTGCCAGTTCCCTATGACGCAGTCGCCGTGGAGATCTCTTTGCTCAGAAGTCTCACTGGCACGACGTTCTCTTTCCCTTTCTCGTCGACGACGAAGGGCATCTTCTCTAGACCGATCCATCGCACAATCGATGACGCTGAGCTTGCTAGCTAGCTACAGCTATAGAGGGGCAGCGTGTAAAATTTTGAAATGTTTTAGCGCGTATGCATGACGACGTACGGTTACAAATATATATAGATAAAGAAAATCGCGCCGCTGGAACCACTAGGTTAGCTCGCTCCCGCTCGCCAATAATATGTGACGGGCGGCACTACAGCACTGCTCATACCGAAAGGTTTTACGTGATTCTAAATACGCGAAACAGGATGACATTTCCACACCTGTATTATAGCTACGCTTACACACGCCGCATGGTTGGCTAGCCCGATCGATCGCTGCCTAGCCTACTGCCATACCAGCTGCCTGGTGGACCACGACAGACGAGCTGAAAGCGTAAGGTAAGTACCGTTCTGCTCACCTGCTCACCGTTCTCGCTATATACTACAGTATGCATGTTATGGCGACAGGTAGCTCTGTCTTGCTTCACGAAAGTAAAGCTGTGCGCTGACGGCACGTTATGCAGCCCGAACATCGCGGGCAAATCCCAAGTTGGGTCACTCCCGCTCAACATCCTTGTAGTTATTACGCGTGGGGAGTATTTTCAGAGGGAGAAGGCCTGGACGATTTTATCACGTGATGTGTGTGCCGTTAACACTTTCAGTCACGAATTCGGCTTCTGCGCCCGATTGCCATTTTTCACCAACTGCCCAAATCTACACACCCCTTTCATCCCGCGCATGAGCGCTGTGGCGATCTTTCTTCCTGCCATTTTACAGACCTACGCACAGCCTCTGTGCCTGCCTTTTATCCTATTCCTCACTCAATCCGGACCTTTTTGCTTCTTTTAGAGTACTGAAAGGGAAGCAACATCAAAGCTCTTACCGCCACATCCAAGTGCCGACTGACCACATTCGGAGATAATGCCGCCATGCCGCCCGCCTACCGGGTCAAAGTTCACAATTGTGCGAGTTTTGTTGAAGTTACAACATTTTGTAATTCTGTGACGTATGCAACCGCGTCGCGGCACGTATCACGTGATAAAATAGTCCAGGCCTTCTCTCCCTCCGAAATATATAGTCTCCTGCCCAGACCGTCACGTGCTCCCGCGCAAAAGAGGGTCTGGAAAATAAGCTTGGTTGTACTGAGCCAGCATGTTCGGAAAACGGGTAACCCAATCAGATCGCCGGATTTATGTTACATGAAGGTGATCTGCAATGCCGACCGGTTTTACGCATGCGCAGCGCAACAACAGTAATCACAAGACTGAGTGGAATTACGTACACATGCTGATTCAGCACAACAAAGAAATCAGACCTGACCTCTTTCGTGCGGGAGCACGTGAGGGACTGGGCACGAGATTACCAGCAAAAATACTCCCCACGCATAATAATAACGTAAGGAGCATGCGCGCGTGGAGGAGGGAGAAGTCCTGGTTTCGAGGCTAGCACGCAATGACTTCCGGAAGCTGCACAAGTGACCGTGCCCCCACCCACCGTAGGCCACGCCCCCTAAAACTACCAAGCGTGCAGAAGCGAGTGCAGACCAACCCTTGATCTTCAGCACGAAGACAGGAAGGGACGTTGGAGAAGTGTATATACATACGAGCTATTGTGACACCCAGAAGGGATTCTCTTGGAGTTGTGGTAGCTTTTAGAAAAGCTGGTTGAAAAAAAGCAGAAAAAAATTAGAAAGGAAGCTTTGATAAAACCTGGGAAACAAAGACGTGGAGCAGCAGGAGCTTATTGGGGATAACAGTGATCAACTGAGTGCACTCCACGCGATGCGCGCTTCCTAATTAAGGCCACACCCAATCATTCTAGCGCACTCTACGTACAGCGTGCATGCGCAACGTAACGTGTAAAGAACATGCAGAGCAGCAAGTGGGCGAATGAGCGGCACATACACAGAAAAAAAGAATGGCAGAGTCAAAATGGAGATTGTACTCGCATTAGCTGCAGTGATTGGTCAAGAGGTAGAGAAACAGGTTACTTGGTTGCAGAGTATGGGCCTACTCGGCCGGAACAAGACCTGCCCAGCCTGCAACCAACAAGTGAATGAGCTAATATGAAAATTTGCACTGGGTTGCCTTGACCAGTTGTGCTCGCTCTGCCAGTTGTGCTCTATATGGGAGTAAAATTTATGCTTCTTGTTTTTGAGGCACCAGAAGTTGCAATGCAGGGCGTGTATCAACTGTCGCATGTTATCTCGTAGTGTCGCTAGCCTCTTACCGACTCTCAGCAACCTTACGGTGGGAGACTATGAGTCACAGTAAAAATAATGACAAATGCGTGCAAATACTTCCGCACCCGTGCGTGTCTACAGCCTCGTTTCCACGCATTTTCTTTTTTCCTTCCCCCCAAAAACGGACTCCGAACAAGGTTGAGGGGCGATTGTTTGAACTTTAGTGATTTTGGTTTTTTTACTAAAGTGAATCAAAGGAGATGATGAACAAAAACAGATTATCATATCCCCATTACATGATTCTATGTCCCATGTGGTGTATGTAGTAGTTATGTCATGTCCATGAAGTACGTTGCCGGAATAAATCACGAGTACCGAGGGCGCGCAGCACCCGAGTGATTTATTCCGGAAACGTACCGAAAGGACATGACATGCGTAATTTATGTCGTCATGACCCGCGTTGCTACGGATAATGGCGCAAAAATTCTTCTTTGTCTCGACCTAAACCAGTTTTCCGACCGGTTTTTTTCTTGCTGGCAGGTCGTGACCCGGAGCGTCTCTGAGCTGACTTCACGTTCGTCCGTGCTCGCGCTAGTCCCTTCGCCGTCGCTGGTCTTTTCCTGTTCTTCTCCCTCACTCGAGCGCTCTTCGCGCCATCCCTTGCGTCTCACAGGAAGTTGTAACACTCATAGAAAGTTCATATAGCCCTTATCTCGCCCCGATCTCCGCCGTATTGCATCCGTACTCGCGCTAGTCCCTTCGCCGTCACTGGTCTTCTCCTGTTGTTCTCCCTCACTCGAGCGCTCTCCCTTGCGTCTCACAGGAAGTTGATATAACACTCATAGGAAGTTGATATAGCCCTCGCTGCGGGTATTTCGCCCTGATATAGTGCATGGTGGCGCTTTTGATCCACCCACGCATGACGACATAAGTACAGTATATACATTGGGAGTAAAATTCATGTTTAACCTCCTCATTTGCTCTGTTTCTGTCCAATAGGCCAAAATTGACAAAGATTGACCGTTCTATACAACACTGTCATTCTATATCAGTAAACTCTGTTTCTGTAGTTATTAAAGAATACATGTCATTTTGAGTAATGATATCCATACATCTGCTAGCACGGCAATTTAGGTAATAGTTCTCATCAGGAAGGGGGTGGCTTATACAAATAATGAAAGAGGTATTGTGAGATGGGCGATTAACATCGAATGGACAATGATTTTGCGGTTGAAGCATTTTTCAGACCATGACTGAGTTAGGGGGTGACTACTCAGAACTGGTTAAAAATTTTATCTACCTTTGAAGGAAATGATATTGAGCATGGGGTGACATTTCGTCTTAACATAAGGGGGCATGGTCATTCAGGACACAACTGCCACGCCTCCTTTTTTCAAGGACAGTGAAATCTCCTGACGTGTGACATATGGCTCTGCAACTTAGTACCCACTTAGCTAATCAAGTAATATTAATGACGTTGCATTTTTGTGGAAAGTCCAGCATACCATTTTAAGTCGACAAGCTTTTCTGCCATCTAAAATGAAAAGGAACTATAAAGCGCAAAACCCTCGGCGAGCTGCGCATGCGCGATACCGCTATTATTGCTGGGCTGGGCTGGGCTATTAGCATGAGTTTACTCGCGGTTTCCCGCTGGTAGCTCGTGGAGAGTCTGGCTACAGTATAGGCCTGCGTCGATTATTCCGGAATAATTTCGGGAATAATAGGTCCCTCTGGGAATAAGAATAATTCCAAGAATAATAGGTTGAAAGTTGCGACGAGCGGGCAACGGCGGAAACTCGGAACTCGCGGAAGGGCGAAGTGTGAGTGCCGAGTGGACGTGCGTCATGTTGCAGTACAATGATCGTGATGTTTATTTATGTGCCTGCTCTGTAGTACTGTTTTTTTTCATTTTTGAAGCAGAATAATAGGTAAATTTCTGTGAATAATAGGTAAACTTTAAAGAATAATAGGCATGTGGAGTAGGAAATTCAGAATAGAATATCCGGACAAATTGTGGGAATAATAGTCTCAGGCCTACTACAGTAGTACATAGCATGCATGCAAAAGTCGATACACGCCCTCCGTTGTGACTTCTTGTGCCTCCAAAGTACACAGAGCAAACGGACCTGGTCGGGGTAAGCCTGGCAAATTTGCATATTGGCTTGTTCACTTGCCTTTCGCGCCATAACTTTTGAACGCAGAAGTTATATCAAAATCGCCTTTTTCACAATGAGGCCAGTGTAGCGATGAACCTGTTGGTGTCGCTATTTCGTTGTGAAAACGTGGTAACAGACGAACGGACAAAAACACTCACGAACCAAGTACCGTAAACCCCTTGCGCGGCGAGGGTTAATTATTTACTGCTGGACTCCTTGTAAAAATGAACGACATGTCACCCCACTACTTGTAAAAATGGACGAAATATCACCCCAATGCTCAATATTATAATTTCCTTTGAAGGTAGCATTAACAGTTTCGGGTAGTAACGAGTTATCCTGGGGCATTTTTGGAGCTGTCTGATGTAAGAATCACAATGAATGATTGAGCAAGCAGAAAGACCCACTCCTAAATCCAGATGTACATTTTGACCTAATCTACTTTCTTCAATGTCTTCAATCAAAAGACTAGTTTTCCCTCCAAGTTCTCTGGAGCTGAAAAACAAGGTGTTTAAGCTTAGTGGAGAAACAAACTATGCAGAATTGAACTTGGAAGTTGGTTCAGCATGGAAGTCAGCTCAAAATAGAAGTTGGAAGTTACGAAGAACAATACTCTAGGAACAACTTTCTGAAACCTTGTCCCATCAGGTATTATACATCTGTAGACCAACACAGCATTATCTACTAATGAAACATTGAACTTCGAGTTTACAAGTGTTCATCGTCCACTTCCATTCAAACTTCCCGTTTACAGACATTGAGCCTAGCTAGATACTGATAGTTACTCTACCGCCATTCAGCCACGTGTCACTTTGGAATGGCGACGATGAACCTTCAACCCATGAGCCGAGCAGAGTGGCTTTGCGGAGCCAAACCTTGTGTGAGAGAGGGCCTGGTGCATATGCAATCCCCTACTCCCTCCTGTGGGTAGGACTCACAGGGGACTCCTTAGCTAGTGGCAGAATAGCTTAACTCCAGATATAGGGGGACCCTGTACTCGTGTATGCTAAACCAACCCACACACTGATATTGCAGTTCATGATAACGTGACAAAAGATACCCGAGGAACAAGTGGTGTATAGGCAATGCATCTGCCTTCGCTTCCGAGAAAGCGTGGCTCAGCCAGGGCAGTGTCTATTCACTAGACTGGACATGACAGCATTAATGAGAAAGACGCCAATAAAGGCAGAAAAAGCGCGCATGCGCATATAAAACATTCAAATACCTCGAGAAAGCGTGGAAGGAGAGAAACAATGTGTTTTAGTGAGAAAAACGTCTGAAAACGCAGAAAAGCCCTCGCAAGCGCATCAGATGCGCAGAGAAAGCTGTGAGATAAACGCTCCAATAGACACTAGTGAGAAAAACGGGGAAAGACTGCGAATGCCCTATAAAAACGAGCAAATGAGCAGCATTGAGCAGCGTTAAAAACGTTGCAATGCCCATAAACAACGTGTTATAGTGAGAAAAAAGTCATAAACTCAGAAAAACCTTCGCATGCGCATCAAAAACGGTGCAAAAGCTCAACGCAGAAACAAAGTGAGAAAAACGTTAGAAAGGAAGAAAAGCGAGGAAATGAGCAGAGAAAGTGTGGAGCGGTGAGAAAAATGTTAGTTCTGGAATTAAAAACGTCAGGAAACGGGGAAAACCTGTTGAAAACGGTTTAACTGCGCAGAGAAACGTGGAGCAGTGAAAAAAACAACGTGTTTTTGTGATCAAAACGTCATGAAACCTGCGAATGCGTATTACACAATAGTAAATGAGAGTGGAGCAGCGTTCCTAAAGAACGTGTTTTAGGGAAGGAAATGCATAAAAACCTGCGCGTGCGCATCATAAACGGTGAATATGAGCAGAGAAACCGTGGAGCGGTGAGAAAAACGTTAACAAACTTGTTTTAGTGATAAAAACGTCTGAAAACTGTGCACATGCGCATCGAAAACGTGAAAGAAGTGAGATAAACGCTCCACTGGGCATATACAACGTGAGAAAACGTCCATAAAAGCGGGAAAATGGCGCGTCCGCGTATAAAGCATGGACCTAAAGAAAGGATGGAAAACCTTTCTGAGGTTTTCCTCACTAAAATAATATGTTGCTTCTGCCCATTGGAATCCTTTCAAATCCGAAGGGAAAGAGGGGAGCACTGGCAGAAAAGACTGTATACGTAAACGCCCGGAAATGCACACAAAAGTGCGCATGCGACATTTTCCACATTGCCCACCCACAATTCCAATTAGTGCCCACCTATAATTACAAAAAAAACAGAGTGAACATTTGGCTGAACGGTTAAATAATGTGTCAAGAACTCCAAAAAAGCTCGTGGAATATGGCAGATAAACCCAGAATAACGCTTATGCCTGAAAAATACAAGTTGCTGAAACGACTGCTTTCGAGAGATATGCCGTGAAAACAAGCGAAAAAGCCAAATCGCACTCGGCTTACCACGACCTGATCCGCTCGCTCTGTGTATATACCTTCGGGGCTAAGGAAGTCACAACGAATGGCATGTATCGACTCCTGCATGCTATCTACTACTGTAGCTAGCCGGTGTCTCGAGCTACTATCGGGAGACCACGAGTAAACGCCTACAAATAGCCCAGCCCATCAATTAGCAGTTTCGCGCATGCGCAGTTCTCCGAGGGTTTGCACTTTCACGTTTTTATTGGGCAGTTTCTGCCAATTGGAGCGTTTATCTCATTGCTGCTTCTTCTTTTTCTTCTTCTTTATAACCTCCACTGAAGGAGAGTAGCCTATGGGGTAGGCGATTGAGTAAGGGCAAGTGGATGGCGAAGACGTTCACCGTGCAGGTTGTGACAAGCAGCCGGATCCTGGTGATGTTGCGCTTGGTCACACGTGGGAATCCGCGACAGACGGGAATGGTCTTGCCCAGTTTCACCTCCGTGCATTGTGAGAGTGGGATGTGGTCACATTCAGTCATGAAGTCTGCGTACTGAGAGGCTAGTATAATATAGTAATCGCTTCACTGTCCTCTTCCACCCACCCTGGCTCCACTGGCCATCAAGGATGACGTTGATAGGGGGGAGTCCATGGTGGACCAGAGTATTCTGGATAGCAGGATCAACCCAGTTGGTAACGGGTTCTCGAGCCGTTTCCGAAGTAGTTGGAGGGGTAGCGAGTCAGGGGGTAGAAACGTGAAGGAGTGGATAAAGTTCAGCTGTCTCTGGTGGATGAAGGCATTGATACTGAGGGTTTCTGTGATGTGCAGAAGGGCCTTAGAGTTGCAGCGGACTGGGAGACCAAGGATCGTTCTCAGTATTATGCGGTAGACTCTCTCAAACATGATCAACTCCGTTCTGATGATGTTCCATAACTCATTCCCGTAAAGAAGAACAGGTAGACAGTATGCCTTATACAGACGAAGGATTGTGGCAGGATGAAGACAGCCAAGACGGGCTCCAATGGCATTCAGGCTAAAATAAGCACTCCTGCCTGCACTGCAACGCTCAGAAGTTAGGAGGAGAGTTGATGTGGACACGGAGCGGAGGATGCCAAGATGATGTTGGGAGTCTCTCTCTGGTATTGTCTCTCCGGATACATACCATCTCCGTGATTGACGGAGGAGGACTCTGGAATTCTTGGACTCTCCTATCACCAAAACTGCTGACTTTAGAGCATTGAGTTCATACCTCCAGTCCGCAGCGTATGCTGACACAATGTCTAGCATGTGTTGAAGATCTGCCTCAGATTCGGATATCAGAGCCAAGTCGTCTGCATACATGGGTGCTCCACAGAATATTTCGTCAATCCAGACTCCATAACCAGAGGAAGAGAGCTCTACAAGAAGGTCGTTGACGAAGATGGTGTACAGAGATGGAGAGAGGACAGCACCTTGACGAACCCCTTGATGTACTGGGAAGGACCGGGAGGAGGAAGAGTTCCAGAGAACGGAGGAGGAGCATTCTGTATACCAGTTGAGGATGAGCCTCCAGATGTAATAGGGGAAGTCGAACTTCAGGAGTTTTGGCAACAATCCTTCATGCCAGACAGTGTCATATGCTTTTTTCACGTCCAGGAAGGCTATGTAAGCTTTCTTCTTCTGACTTCGCAGGTAATGAATTGCTTCCTGTAAAACAAATGCTGTATGGATGCAACTTGTTCTTTGTCTGAAACCGCCTTGGAGGGGATGGATGTTACACATTTCGGTGGATAGTCGGGACAGGAGGAGTTTTTCAAATAGCTTGCTAAAGACAGGGAGCAGGGTGATTCCTCTATAGTTTGATGGTTTGGTGGCATCAATGTGTAGAGACGTTCACCGTTTCTCAGTCGTGGAGCCGGAGCCAACACTTATTACTTATGCGCATGTTCAGTATCAGGGTGTGTGTGTGTAGTGCGCATGACCGAAATGACAATAGTTCTACTAGTTCAATGAGAATGATTATGACTATGATAATGTATGTAGCGTAGAGTGCAGTCATCACATCACCCTCCCTCCAGAGTTAAAGTTCGCCCACGAACTTTGGGTCTTCAAAACAGGCGTTGTGGGGGCTTCAGTCGCTGCCGCAGTCGGCTGTCCCGTCGCCCCAGTCCCTCTGGTCGCTGTCTTGAACTTCTCGAGCAGGGTGTCTGACTTCCCTCAATATCTGCTGCTCCTTCATCGCCTCCTTCATCTGAGTCGTCGCGAGACATAAATGCTCCGATGTCGTCTTCTGAGTTCACAGGAGACTGCAGTTCTTCTGATCTGCTATCCACCAGCTCTCCTCTAGCTGTGGTCTCTTGAACATCCGAGGTGTCGTCTCTTGTTCCGGTCTGACTTTGAGTGTGTGGCGATGTCTGGCGATTGCCCTCCTTGTGAGAGGCACTAAGGTGATCGTCCTCAGGTTGCTGTCTGTCGTTAGTCTGATCTGGCGCCCCATTGCTGAGTGGTGGGGTGTTGTCCGCAGAACCAGACTGCAGCAGGCAATCGACCCACTTTGGTGGACGTCCAGGGCCTTTTCTCTTCCCTCCGTACCAGTAAAATCCAGCAGGAAACTCCTGCGGGCATACACATACTCTTGACTGATGGACATGCAGCTTCCCTTCTTGCGGGTAGTAAACTTTCACACACGTAACTCCGGTGTTAGTCAGCTCAATAATCCGATAGGGACCATGCCAAGGTCTGGAGAGTTTACACCATCGTCCAGTCTCGTCTTGTGCGAAATGGACCAGGATCCAGTCACCCTTCTTCAGATCTTTCTGTCGCACACTTGTCATACTGACGCTTATACTGAGCTTGGGCCCTCCTGATGGCTTCGGCAGCCAAGTCCCTTGCAGAGGTGAGTGAAATCATCAGTTCCTCTCGGTAGTCACGTACATCTACTGGTATCATCTCAGAGGTTGGCAAGTATGCTGCCTCAGTGGGTGAACGGCAGTCTACTCCATAGAGGAGGAAAAACGGTTTTTCTCCAGTCGAACTGTGTGGTGTGTTTCGATAAGCCCATAGTATTCCAGGTAGGTGTTGATCCCACTGGGAACCGAAGCATACCGCGTGCTTTCTGAGAGCCGTTTTAAGAGTACGATTAAATCTTTCCACAGCACCATCGCATTGGGGGTGATAGGCGGTGGTATTTATTTTATCTATCCCCAACATCTTGCACATGTCCAGCATAAGGTGAGATAGCAGGTTTGTGCCCCTGTCAGATAATAGGGCCTCAGGAACACCAAAACAAGGGATTACCTCTTCTACCAGCAGTCTCGCTATCCTCTCTGTCTTCTGGTCAGGAACCGGAAATGCAAACGGCCACTTGGTAAAAAGGTCCTGCACTACCACCACATGGGAGTTCCCTCGGTCGGTGAGTGGCAGATCAATGCCCAAGATCTGGAACGGACGGGACACCGGTATAGGTTGTAAGGGTGGCTTGATCCTCCTGCCAGATCCAGTTGCCACAGCACATTCTGGACACGACCTTGCAAAAGCAGTGGCATCTTGAAACATCCCTCTCCACCACCAGTGCCGTAGAAGCGAGTCATAGAGTTTCCGTCCTGAAAAGTGGCCGGCAAAGCGGCTTGAGTGGGCATTTGCCAATATCTGTTTTCGCAGTTGCTGAGGCACAATGGCTCTTCTCCTGTTCTCTCGCTTTGGGTCGACGTAGAAAGCTATTCCATCTACAATGACAAAGACAGAGCCTTCCGACACGAGTCGTCGCGCTCTGCGGGCATCTTCAGGCACTGTTCCATTCTCAGCATACTCAATGATATCCAGAATCTCCGGGTCTTTGCGTTGCTCCACAGCGAAATTATCTAGCTCTGCTGGGGTGTCACTCGTGTGTCCACAGAAGAGTGTACGAATATCCGCCACTGCATCGGAGCTCTGGCCATCTCCATCCTCATCAGGTAATAGTGCGTTTGCTGTTACGGTGTTCTCCAGCAAATCTTTGGTCTCAGCTTCTTCCAGTGTGGTAGTCACCGACGATTGAGTAGAGCCAGCTGTTTCTTTCTGTGACAATACTCCCCAGTCACTATACCCAGTAAGCAGTCGGTCAGCGAAACTTCCATCTGCTGTCATCAGTTCACTAACAAGACCTGTGCGTTGTTGGTCATCACCCTGCACCACTCCGGTAGCAGACTCAGTGGCTTGGTACTGCAGTCGGTCCAGCATGTGGGTGTTGATGTAGCTGAGACGCAAGTTGTAGTGTTCCATCCGGTAATACCTTGCCTCCTCGGGCATCCGACACTGGTTCTAGCAGTTTCTCATGTGTCCTCGGGTCTTGCTCTCCAGCAGTATGAGAGCTAGGGCTGTTGCAGACAGCTACTGAGGCTGGTGGATCATGGTTGTCAATGGCTGCTGGCAACCCTTCTTCGGGCAGGACGGAGGTAGCTAATTCCTGGGAAGATAGCTCCTTTAGACTTGTTTCCTTCCTCAGCCCAGGGTTGGGTAGACAGTCTGCACGACAAGTAGGGTTGACAGACTCTGCTTCTAATAGGCCAGGGGAGGTGGAACTGTTAGCTTGATCAACTCTCCCTGAAACGCACACTCTGGAGACCTGCATCTCATTTTCAGCCAACCCAACAGCTGGTGCTGGGAGTAGAGGATGGCGGGAAAGAGCGTCGGCATTTGAGTTTTCTCAGCCAGGACGGTACACAATCTTTACACTCTTAACTCATTTCCAATAAACTCGGGTCCACCAGCGGGCGTGCTTAGCAGTCGGATTTGCAGTTTCCAGTACAGCCTTCACAACAGTGTGGTCAATGAATACTGTCACAGAGTTGCCATTTAAATAGTGGTGAAAGTGTGAGATTGCCCAGACCACTGCGAGGGTCTCCAGCTCAGTTATGCCGTATCGCCGTTCAACTGGGCTCAAAGCTCTGCTTGCGTAAGCAATTGGGTGCAGTCGCTAGTCTTCCTGGCGCTGGCTGAGTACGGCTCCAATTCCTTGCATGGAAGCATCTGTTTCCAGGACAAAGTCTCGACTGAAGTTCGGGTAGGCTAACACAGGAGAGGTGGTCAATCTTTCCTTGAGTTCTAGGAAAGCTTGCTCACATTCTGGGGACCACACAAACTCAGCCCCCTTACACGTCAGCTGGTGTGCAATCCTTGAGAAGTTAGCAATAAACCTCCGGTAATACGAGGCGAGACCTAAGTACCTACGAACATCATGAGCAGACAATGGGGTTGGGAACTCTTTCACTGCAGCAATCGGCCGGGGGTTCGCCTTCAATCCATCTCGACTGACTACATGCCCTAGAACTCCAGCTCTCGTTGGGCAAACTTGCACTTTGTGGGTTTCAACTTGAGACCAACTTCGTCTATGCGCAGAATGACGGCCTTGAGATGTGACAAATGGTCTTCTAATGTACGTGAGAACACCAGGATACCGTCAAGATAGACTGATACATACTCAGGTCTAGGCATGACCTTGATAACTTGCTTGTCTTCTCTTGTGCTGTCGGGTGCATGCGTATCTGCCAAAACCCAGAAGCCAGGTCGATGGTCGAAAAGTACTTCGATTCACCCAGCTGGTCCAGCAACTCATCAATCCTTGGTAGAGGAAAACTGTCTGACTTGGTCACAGAGTTGAGCGCTCTATAGTCAACACAGAATCTGTGCGTGCCATCACGTTTGCGGACAAGCACAACAGGACTTGCCCAGGGAGACTTAGACGGGCTGATTACTCCATTTTTCTGCATGTCACTCAGTTGTCTTGTGACTTCCTCCCGTACTGCAAAGGGCATTATTCTAGGTGCTTGTTGCTTGGGGTACGAGTCTCCCGTTCAATTTTTCATCTGGACCCATGTCCGTTTCCTTCCCCTCTTTCTTTCGCCTTCTTTCTTCTAAACCGAACATTTGGTGGTAGTTTGCGAGGAAATTTTTTTAATTTTTTTTTTTTTTTAATTTTAAAGTTTTTTTTATTTTTTTTTTTTTTTTCTTTTTTTTTTTTTTTTTTTTTTTTTTTTTTTTTTTTTTTTTAAATTTTTTTTTTGTTTTTATGTTATTTTTTTTTTTTTTTTTGTGTTTTTTTTTAAATTTTGTTGGTTAATGTGTTTATTTTTTTTTTTTTTTGTCTTCGTTTTTTTGTTGTTTAATCTATTTTTTATGACATTTTTGCTTTGGTTTTTTGGTTTTTTGTTCTGTTTTTTTATTTTTTCTTTTTTTTTTTTTTTTTATTTTTTTTTTTTCGGAGTCCTCCCGCTCTTGAGGTGAAGGTCAAGAGCACATCTCTGAGTTTCTTCGTCTTCCGCTGCTGGTCGATCACCGTGCTCGTCTGACATGCTCCTGACGTCAAAGGCGGTACAGTCTGAGTCACAAGTTCTGTCTTCTGGCTTGCATGTCTATGATGTCACTTCCGCTACATGTCCCACAATCTCGCCTTCTTTCACAGGCTTGGTGTCAGCCGGTGAAGTTGGAGATGAAAATTGACCCTGCCGTCTCCGGAGGCTGAGAAGCGTTTTCCGTCGTCGAGAGGCTCAGTTAGATACTCTAGGGCCCTCGTCTGAATGAACACAAACGGAGGCATTCTGAGGTTGAGTTGGGATGAGAAGTGATCCTGCATATCCGGAAGGCTGATGAAGTGGGTGTCGCGGAGGAGAGGGCAGTTAGAGATCTAGATCCTCGTTCAGGAAGAACAACGTAGGTTTGAGTCTTTCCGCTTTCAGAGGGGGGGCGACTTCTGCAGCAATGCTCTGATGAGGTGGGATACGCACCGATTGTACGAGGTGGACACGAGTGGCTGTCGCAGCTACACTCATCATTTCTGGTTGAAGAGGATTCTGGGTTACTCGGTCTGGTTGGGTTGCCGTACTGGAATTCACATCTGCTTGGGTTCGGCTGGTCGTGTAGGGTTAGGGGCTGGTTGACGCCTTCTCTGGTAGTAACTTCCTTGACATTCTGCCCGACCGTGCTGGCCCTAGATACGTAGTGATCTCCTTCGACACCCTCTATTTCTGATCCGTCTTCAGTTTGAACCGCAACTTCCACCTTGTGGTGGTCTTCCGCCCCATCCGCTTTGGCTGTACTTGGCTTGGTTGCCTTGTCGTCTTCTCCAGTGTCCTTCGGGACTGGTCGTGGTGCTTTTGGTCACATCCTTGGTATTTGAATCTTCTACCAGATTGGAATTGGGGGTGCACCTAGGAACGAGAGTAGTATTGATGCTGAGCGGTGTTTCCTTCTCTTCTTGGGGTGTCAGCGTCAGGGGTAAAGGGCTCTCTTCCAAACACTTCGCAACTGGCATACAAGTTTCTTGTGGCTTAGTGGAGTCACTTGAAGTTGCTCTTGGGCCTAACGTCTTGGCTTTCTCTGGCGCACCTGCTTTCAATGCTCCCCCAAACTCCATAGGTTCCGTTGACAGACACGGGTCGGCAGTACTCACTATGTCATCCTTCTGGGGACTTGCTGCCACTCCTAAACAGGTTGGGTCCATCTGGCTGTGCTTTTGCTGTAAGTGTTACTTCGCTAATGTTGGTCGCCTCCTCCACTTCTGCAG